GGAATGGCTGGCTGCGGCTGGGCCTGCGCGGGGCCCGGAGGCGGCGGGCCCTGCATCACCAATCCCGGAGGAGGAAGAGGGTAGCCGGCCTTGCCCGGCGGCGGGGGTGGATGGAGCTTCCCCAGCGGCGTCGCGTTTGCCCCGGTCGCCATAGACGGGAAAAGGCGCTACTGCGGTCGATGGCGACCACGACTTCGCGAACCTTCCACGCCAGTCTTGCCTCACAAAGACAGTGGGTCGTTACTGGATAAACGGGCCGCCAGTCAAATGCCCTCGCGCAGCATTATTGGATAGGAGCCCCATCACTCATCCGAAGACCGACGGCGATTGGATAGAAGATAGTTCGAATGATAGGATTGGTGCGAGCTCAGTAGAAGGGCGGGACGAACACCCATTGGGTCTCTTTCTTGTCGCTCGGTAGAGAAACGGCATGAGTTGGCTACCAAGGACAGCGGGCGGGAGAATAAAATGGAATCGACGTAGAGGGCGGGTGACTACACGGAGGGCAGGCTCTTTAAGTCCAGAGTTCAGTCCTGATTGGCTAACCTTTACTTGCGTCGTTGGTGCGGACGGATGGTGGCTTATCGTTTCGCCATTAGAGGCCCACAGGTCGCTGTTAAGAGGGCTGTGAGCGACGTCAGTGAAACCCTTATCTTCTATTGGACCGGCCTTGAACGAGGACGAAACGTAGTCTTTGAGTGGCAGACGGCCAAGCGCATGCTGCTAAGGAGAGAGTTAATGGCGGCTGTAGTGAATTTTAACACCTTTCCTTGTATCGGCCTATGCAACGCAGAGGCTTCTGGGCGTTTGGGCAGGTCTGCGGCGTAGAGGCCTCTGGGAAGCCTGTTATGTTAGTTACCCTTGTCGCATCTCCTCTCATCAGGCCTCCACAATTTTGGAGACGAACAAGCTTAATTTCCCCCACCCCTACACTCGCAGCTCTTGAGGGGGTAGGCATTTATGTTTTAAAATTACATAAGTATGCCAAGATAGATTCAGGTGGGGTAGCTGTGTTGGTCTGAAGCAGCGGAACAGAGCTTGAGTCTAGTGGCACCTTGAAGACCCAACAAAGTTTAATTCTGGGTATAAGCTTTCATGTGCACGCACACTTCGTCAGGGCATCTTGACCCTAAATGGCCGTTCCTGACAACAACCCCAACCCCCTATAACTAATAGTTGAGGAGATTTTGTTCCACTGCATCTGAGGAAGTGTGCTTGCGTACAAAAGCTTATAACTTTGTTGGTCTTAAAGGCAGGGCCGGCCTGCTCACTAGGTGAGATAGTCTCTTCGCCTAGAGCCATCATGGGGGCGCCGGACTCAGCCACCCGAGGCCCCTACTGCTGCTGACCACCTGCATTCACCTGCCAGAGCCGCCCCCACCACCCCGGTGTGAACGGCCAAGCGGCCGGGGAGGAGGGAGGCACTCCGCAGTCTGCCCCCCACCCCGCCAAAAACTCGGCTCCGAGGGCCCTGCCGCTGCTGCCCGCCGCAGAGGAGCAGCCACCCTTTGGAGCCCCCGCTCCGCAGCCCCCTCTGTGGGCCGGCCGCTTCGCCCCGCTGCCCGCAGGTCCAGGAGACCACCGCAGATGCCACCGCTGCCTCCTGGCCGGGGCTGAGCCACCCGGCCTTCCCTTTCCCCTGAGCTGCACGGCCTTCCCTTCCCCCTTCTGGCCTTTGCTTTCCCCCTGAGCAGCACGGCCGGGGCTGAGCCATGGCCAGTGGAGCCCGCCCTCGGCCCGCTGCCTCCAGCTGCCCCCCGCAACAGCCCTGCTCGGCGCTCCTGCTCCCACCTTGCCACCACCAAGGAGGAGGATCCCTTTGTTAGGGGTAGCAGCCGCCCGAGCCGAGCTGAGCCAAGCCCCTGAGGAGTGAGCCGGGACTGGGGAGCGCTGGCATGGGGACCTCTCCTCCTCCACCGAGCTGGCTCACGCAGGGTGCCCTGGCAAAGTTCGAACAGCAGGAGCGCTGAGGGAGATCAAGGTTAGGCGCTGACATGTCACAACAACTTGTGTTTCAATAACTCCAGTTGTGTCTTAAATGGCATACGTGCATCACCCCCTTACCCCGTATTTTTTAAACAAGTAATTTATTTGCCCTGACCTGGATATAGCCCAGAGTAGCCAGATCTTGGAAGCTAAGCAGGGTCAGCCCTGGTCAGGATTTGGAGGGGAGACCACCAAGGAAGTCTAGGGTAGTGACGCAGAGGATCTGAAGATCTCTTGCCTGGAAAACCCCATGGGGTTGCCATAAATCAGCTGTGACTTGATGCCAAATCCCCCCCCCTTTCCTTATTGTACATATATACCTGCTTGGCCAACAACAAGTGTTAGACAGGTCTTGCTGTTTCAAATGTACATTTGAGCCAGTTTGGTGTAGTGGCTAAGTGCGCGGACTCTAATCTGGGAGAAACAGGTTTGATTCCCCACTCCTCCACTTGCACCTGGCTGGATGACCTTGGGCAAGTTGTAGTTCTGATAAGAGCTGTTCTTGAAAAAGAGGAGTTTCTGTCAAGAGCTCTCTCAGCCCCACCTACCTCACAGGGTGTCTGTTGTGGGGAGGGGAAGGGAAAGGAATTTGTAAGCTGCTCTGAGACTCCTTTGGATAGTGAAGGGCGGGGTATAAATCCAATCTCCTCTTCTTCTTTAATCAGAGGTGCATAGCAACAACCTCAGATTTAGGGCAGGAAAGATGACCATTGCCTGCATTAGAACAAGGAGAGCAGACAGAGGTCAACTAATAGTGGGAAAGTATTGCAGAAGATTCAGGCGGGCACTACAGGGATAGAAGCCAAGGGGAAGAGGTCAGTGTTGGTTCAAAAATGGTAGGAAGGTGGGGGCAAATGGAATGAACACACATGAAGCTGCTTTATATTGAATGAGACCACTGGTTCATCAAGGTCAGAGTGTTAGGTCTTTCACATCACCAACTACCTGATCCTTTTTAAACTAGAGTACGGGCAGGGAAACCATCTCCTTGCTAGAGGAGAAAACAACATAATGACACTCCAGACTGGTTATGGAATGTTAATTTTGAGGAAAAGTGGATTTAGGAAGAGAAATGGAGGATATATCTATCAGTAGCTATTAGCCCCAATAAGCTGAAAGAGCACTCTGGGTTTACAGGAAGACTACTTTTGATTTTCAGATGCTGCAGCAGCAGCCCTATTTGTCATTTTCCCAGTGGTCTCTGACTGGCCACTATTAGAAATGGGAAGGAGGAGGAGGAGGAGGTGGTGGTGGTGGTTGGATTTATACCCCGCCCTTCACTCAGAGTCTCAGAGCATCTTACAAACTCCTTCCCCCTCTCCATAACAGACACCCTGTGAGGTAGGTGGAGCTGAAAGAGCTCTTTCCAGAACTCTCCTTGAGAGAACAGCTCTGACAAAACTATGGTTTGCCCAAGGTCACCCAGCAGCTGCATGTGGAGGCGTGGGGAATCAAACCCAGTTCTCCCAGATTAGAGTCCGTGGACTTAACCACTGCATCAAACTGGCTCTCACAAAACTAGGTAGAGGCTTGGTCTTATCCGGCGTGGCTTCTGTTACGAGGAAAGCAACAGATTGGGATGAAATGTCAGCAGGATGAGTTTGTACCAGTTTCTTCATCCTCGGAGCAATATACAGAAACAGAGGAAAAGAACATGTTTAGGAATCTCAGGGAACCATCTGACCCACACATTTGTCAAAACATCAAAGAATTCCTTCCCTATGAGGATTGGTTAAAACGTTTAGGGCTGTTTAGACTAGAACGAAAGACAAGGGAGGTATTGATAGAGTTTTATAAAATTATGCATGGCATGGAGAGGGGGCACAGGGAGAAACTCTTTTCCCTCTCCCAGCATACTAGATTCTGGGTCATCCACTGAAGCTGAAGGATGGGAGATTCGGGACAGACAAAAGGAAGTACTATTCACTGAGCATATAGTTAATTTGTGGAACTTACTGCCACAGGATGTCATCATGACCCCCATTTAAAAGATTTAATAGTGGAGTGGACAAACTAATGGAGGACTGGGCTATCAGTGACTACTAATCATGATGGATATCTACTCCCTCCAGTACCAGGGGTAGTATGCATCTTTATGTAAGTTGCTGGGGAGCACAGGCAGCATAATGCTGTTGCAGTCTTCCTTTTTGTGGGCTTCCAAGAGGTAGCTAGTTGGCCACTGTGAATAGAATGCTGGAGATGATGGGCCTTTGGTCTGATCCAGCATGGCTCTACTTATGTTCTTATTTGTTAAAAGAATGTATCATACCATAAGGAAGGGCGAGCACCGAGGAATAGATGCTTTCGAATTATGGTGCTGGAGAAGACTCTTGAGAGTCCCTTGGACTGCAAGGAGATCAAATCAGTCAATCCTAAAGGAAATCAACCCTGACTGTTCCATGGAAGGCCAGATACTGAAGCTGAAGCTCAAATACTTTGGCCACCAAATGAGAAGGGAGCACTCACTGGAGAAGATCCTGATGCTGGGAAAGATTGAAGGTAAAAGAAGGGGACAGCAAAGGATGAGATGGTTAGACAGTGTTATCGATGCAACGAGCATGGAGTTGAGCAAACTCTGGAGGACAACGGAGGACAGGACGGCCTGGAGTGATGTGGTCCACGGGGTCGCAAAGAGTCAGACTCGACTGTGCGACTGAACAACAACAACAAAAATCATACCCAATCATTGGGGAGTAAAATACCACAGTTTAATATCAATCTCCATGTTAAATAGCATTTTCTTTTCAAGTTTGGTTTTCTCAGACAATAAATTCCAGCTTACAGCAATTAAAAACCACAAAGAAATTAGCAGCCTGGGAAGGAAACTTCTTGGCACTGAAATTAGCAGGGTTGTGGTCAATGCTCCCTCTAAGCTGTGGAGTCTTGTGAGCAAAAAAATCTACTTTGTGAGCTACTGGCATGAAAGTTGTGAGCCAGCAATTTGGCTGCTGCATCAGTTAGTTTGCTCTGGAGCCCTCCTTCCTGAGCTAAGACAAAAATGCGTGAGCTGGAGGCTAAAAAACTGTGAGCTAGCTCACACTAACTCAGCTTAGAGGGAACACTGGTTGTGGTTGACCTGATAAGCCGAGATATCTGGCTGTATGCTTCTACTGGCTCAAGCAACGACAACAACAAAACAAAAAGCCTCCTCACCACCAAAAACGTCACACAAATCTCAACACAATAGGGCTTCACTTCGCCCCACTCATGCACCCCAAGGGCATCCACACAGCCATACACACTAGCACGTTTCTCTTTCCAAGCAGCCAATCCCCACCCTGGTCGCAGCACCACAGCAGTCATTCAACCCACATATAGCCACTAGGACAACTTGTGGATCATCAAGCTAAATGCAGCCCCATTCTAACCTGTGCCCCAGACCCCATTTTAACTTACCTAGCTGGAGCTTCAAAGACAGGGAGAGCCTTGCCCTTAGGAGCCGCAATACAATGTGAGTGGCTGGTTGGGCTTAGTGGGTTACATGTGTGCCAGCCTTCATTAGGGAAATATCTATGCTACAAAAATATAAACTCAATGGAAACTGGCTGAACCATCTCACCCCTTTCTCAAGAATGCTGGTAATTGTACTTTTGTGAAAGAGCTAATTTTTTTTAGACATCCCCAGTCCCTTCAGAGTGCTTGGTTGGAAGCCACAAGAGATTAGTGGGCTCAGAAGGTGATGGATAGCCTACAATTTGCCCATGTGCTATGCAGACCACTTGCTGAATGTTCTCAGCCAGTTCTCTCCCTCCCTCCCCCACCCATCCATCCGCACTCTGGAGGCACCTACTCCTCCTGCTTGGATATTTGGCAAGCAGACTGCTCAAACTCACACATGCATGCAAATCCAACTACCCACACGTGCTCCTCCTGCCACAGTCACCCAGTTTGCCCATCCTGGGCCTGCCCTCTTCATGCATTCATACATCCAGCCTCAAAACCACGTATTCCCTGTGTCCAATTTAAGGAGGACAGGTCAGAATTCAAAGTGCCCTGAAAGACTTTACATTAAAGCTCAAGTGCTAAGCGTGCGATGCCCGGTTGCACCCCTGGCGAATGATTGTCTTCACACTGGAGGCTAGACTAGGTCATCCTGCCTACACAGCGTCACGATGGACAACTTCTAAGGGTTAAAAAAAAGAGGAAACGGGGACTAGGAAGCGTTCAAGCAGGCACATGGCATCAGTCGAGAGAGACCGCTACGCTCTTTGGACTGACTAGTGGTCAAATTATTGCAAAACGTCTCAGGAGATGCTGGCCCGAATCAGGGAAGAGGGCTCTCCCATCCTAGTGCACAGCAAGATCTCAGGAAGACTCAAGCAAAGAACATATGGGAGCCCAGCCAATGTTATGTCCAGTGTATATGGCAGCAGTAGAGAGTGGTGGGGAGGGCTTGAAAGCCTTCCACACACACGCACACACACAACTCCATTCCAGTGGGTTCCCACAGCGATTGGCCGATGTGGGCCACAGCCAGCCAGCCAGCCGTCTTCATGACAGTCCACCACAAGGCCAGGCACCTCCAGGAGGTGCAAAGCTTTGGAGAAGGCACTCAGTAGCTGCTTTCGTGACCTGTCAGGATGTAGAGGTTGCTGTGCGCTGTGGGATTGTCCGTGGGCGTGCTCTCCAGGATGATGTCTCTGCCAGAGATGAGAAAGAGGTAGGAGAAACAGTGAGAAGTGCAGTCACTTGAAAGGGCAAGAAAAGCTGGGCACTTGTCTGACAGATGTCCCGAGGGAATGTCCAGGTGGCAGCTGCCGGCATTCACAGTCTGGCGCCTCAGCACACGCCCAGGGCATAGGGAGCATCCTGGGAAGTGCTTCCCACATAAAAACTGGACACCTGGCAGACTGTGTGCAGCAAAAAGCCTTACCGGTGGGCTCCTAAGACCTGGAACGCTCGGGACTCGTCCGTTACCTCCTGCGTCACCTTTTATGGAATGAAAGAACAGGTTAGCCGGAAATCCTTGTTACTGAGGCTCTGTCCACCTAAAAAGCTACTCTAGTTCAAACCTACCCATAACACCCTTTAACTCTTGGGCCCATTCTCCTTGAAAGAGGAATCGGGGAAAGGAAGAGGCAGAATGTGGACTGCGCTTTAAAAATAACTCCTCCTGCCTCTGTTTCTTTAGATTAATGATACAGACCAGGGCCTATTCTGCTCTCTATAGTGGACCAAGAAGGTTTCTATGTTAGAAAACCAAGCAGAGGGAGAGTTCCATGATATTTCCCCCAGAATTCCACTCAGCATGATCCTCCTTGTGGGAAAATACAGAGGAAGTCAACTTGTGGTTGGCTAGCTTGTGAAACAGGATGCTGTACTAGTCTGGACCAGAAGGGCACTTCTTACGCTTCTCAAGAAAAGAGTGTGAAGGTAAAGCACACCCATTCAGAATAACTTTTTCTCAATACTGTTTGACTCACATTTCCCCTTATAATGCCAGCTGGAAAGGTTTTAGACTCTCCTGTCATTAAAACAGAGCCCAGTGTCAACAGAGAACTATACCCCATCTTGGCTGTACTCACCTCACCAGATTCCAGGCTTCGGCCTTGCATGCCATGTTTCCAGAAGGCCAAAACACTGTCTTGAAGGCACACTGCATCAAAGCAAAGAGAAAGAGGGAAGGAAATACCAGGTTGGTTCTGGGTGTAGAATTAAGACTTCTTGTTTTTTTAAAGTATCACATACTCAACCTTTAGCTCAAAAAGAGTCCTCTAACCTAAGACTCTAACATAGTGTACTTTGGTCATATCATAAGAAGACAAGACTCACTGGAAAAGACAATAATACTAGGAAAAGCTTTTCAAAGTATGAATCAGAGCCCTAGAATCATGCTAACCTCATTGTTCCATTTTTATTTCTTAGTATAGTTCTTAGTACTTGTTTTAAGACACCTCAAAAATATTTTATTGGGTCTGTTAGGTGTGCAGTTTTTATGTGGGAAGCAAATCCATCAGAGTTTTTTTCCATGCATGCAACTGGCTGGAGGGTTTTCACTGATTTCTCCCCACTCTCCCATGGTAGACCTCCTCCACTCAGAGGTCATTTCGGGAGGGATCGCGGGGGATCGCAGTTCCCCCGGGTGAGGTACAGGGGGCGGGGCACATGACGAAGCCCCGCCCCCTGCTTCCGGCCACCCCACTTCCGGCCCTCATTCAGCCAGGAGGAGGCAGGAGAAGAGGGAGGGTAAGTTGCTTCCTCCCTGCCTCTCCCCACCCCTGCCTGCCTGGGGCCAGGGAGGGCCTTCACGGGGCTTCCTTGCACTCCCACCGGCCTTGCAGGTCCACCACCGGGCCCCTCATGGGGCTCAGCAGTGGAGCTGCAAGGCCGGCAGCTGCGGCCGGGACCGTTGGGGGCGGGGTGTGTAGCCTTATGACACACTTCTGGTGATGTCAGGGGGTGTGGCCTTATGACACACTTCCGGTGATGTCAGGGTGTGTGGCATATGCTAATGAGTTATGCTAATGAGTTCCCCTAGCTCTTTTTCTACTAAACGACCCCTGCCTCCACTCCTCACACTGTTCCTGTGGGAGCAACGTAGGAAAGGGTATTTTGGACTGCAGCAGGAGGGAGGGAGGGAAAAGTCATGCTCCACAAATGAAAATCCAAGCTATTGAGAACACTGGGTAAAGGAAGTGAAAATAAATTGTGAGTATGGGTAAAAATGCAGTGATCCACAAAGAACAAGGAAGTGAGAGTAGTAGACCTCAGTGCAGTTAAGTTGAATAGCCACTGGTTTAAGACTGTTTTTCCTTTATGTCCTTCCCAGGAATTTGAAGTGTTCTGTAAACGGGGTAGAGTGAATTATGTCTGAGAATGGGAATTAGACTGCCCTCTGAGTTACTGGAGGCTGTCCTTCTTGTTTTGTATTTTCCTATAAAGGATGAACTCCATATCCGCTCAGGATTCCAGCCTGTTGGTGAATGAGCTGGTATCAGAATGAATTCATTCTTAGATAAAACTGCCTACTTTGCTAGTGGAAAAGCCATTTTTCTCTCCCTGATAGACCTCAGTGAAAGGTGGGGGAGGAATTTTCTTTAGGTTTAAAGGGAAAATGCCCTAACGGGTTGATACTGAAGCATGTCACTCTGCTTTGATGGGGAAAGAAAAACTTAAGAAACTGGACCTAGGAAGATGCCTCCATCACTATCACCAGTTCCACAAGGAACCTTTCCCCTTACCCACCCACCCCGCCAGCCCAACATACCAATGGTCTCAATAGGGAAATTGAAGGTGAGTTCAGGAGCAAGGCCTCCCCGAGGAGCACCGCGTAGGTTCACTACCCGCACACAGCCTAAAGCAAGAACAACAATGTTGACTAATCGATAAGATCCTGGGAGTGTCAGCGGGGCGGTGAAAAGGAGGAAAACTGGGTCAAAGCAAGAGAGGACTTACGCTCAAAACACACCAGGACAGTGTCTCGGTCCATCTGAGTGACGTGATTGGCCATGACAAGGGGCCGGCCTGTAACAAGACAAGTGAAGGGTAAGGGGCTTAGGGGAGTGCTGAATCTGACTTTCATTAACCACTTCAGAAATTCAGTCTACAACCACATCACCCAGAGAGGCAAACAACTCTTTGGCAACTTTGAGAAGAACCCCTTGTTCATGGGCAGTCAACCACAAACATCTGACTCTTCCGTGACTCCTCCCCCCCATATCCCTGACCCTCTCACCTCCATCCCATGTAGCACATTTGTGGTCCCAAACAAGCCACCCCTCCACAGAGTTCAGAGCAGTGGGGTGTTTGTATAGATTAAGCTGAGACCCTTGTAGGGTTGCCTTGCCAACTCTGGGTTTGGAAATTCCTGGAGATTTGGGGGTGAAGCACGGGGAGGGGAGGATTTGAAAAATGGAGAGACCTCACTGGGGTATAATGTCATACAGTCCACCCTCCAAAGCAGGCAATTTCTCCAGGGGAACTGATCCCTGTCGCCTGGAGATCAGTTGTAATTCCAGATCTCCAGGCCACACTTGGAAGTTAGCAACTCTAGACCCCCTGGGTCAACCAGTGAACCAAGCAGAGATTTGAATCTGGGTCTCCCCATAGCCAAGCCAAACATGCTGGCTCCCCTGACTTCGCTCACATAACCCTAATTTCTTTTTAAAAAACTTTTATATTACTAGAAATGTTTAAGTACTGTTAAATCCCAGCTGACTTACAGCAACCCTATAGGGTTTTCAAGGCAAGAGATGTATAGAGCTGGTTTTCCACTGCCAGCCTCTGCGTAGCAGCCCTGTTCTTCCTTGGTGGTCTGCCATCCAGGTACCAACCAGCGCCAACCGTGCTTAATGTCTGAGATCTGACAGGTATAGGGTCGCTTGGGTCATTCAGGTCAAGGCAAGAGATGTTCAGGACCGGTTTGCCATGGCCGGCCTCTGCGTAGCATACTTAGCCTCCAAGATCACGCTAGCCACCTAACAGGCTTTCTATGGTAGGTAGAATTCAGTAGTGGTTTTCAAAGATTGTACTGTTTCTTCCTTACCAGAAGGGCTCGAAGTGCTGAGGCCGGTGCTGAGGGAAAGCGTGCTGAAATGTAACTCCGCACCTGGTTGGTCACTGCCAGTGACCCCCAAGCATACCTGCGGGTACTCCTCCGTCTCCACCACCAGCAGCTCAAACAAGGTCAAGGGAGCTGGCAGCACCACGGGGACGTGCTGGGGGAAGAAAGAATGCAGGCCGATGACACAATTGCAAAGGGTACGGCTACAGAGACATCCCATTCCGGGGCAACACCAGAACAGCAGCGGTGCTTGGAAGGAAAGGAGTGCTCCATCTGGCACCCATTCGTGGCCACATACATACCTTCAGTAGCATGAACTTCTGCAAGGGCTCGTACCACTGCAGGAGGGCAAGGCTGGAGGGAAGTGCAGCACACAGGAATGTGCTCCCAGAGTAGGGATTACGGACTGAAATAGAGACAGCAGTGTCAGCCCCACAGCATCATACCTGCACCATGCAGTGTTCCCTCTAAGCTGTCGATTGTTGTGAGCAAAAAATTCTACCTTGGGAGCCAAAAAATCTATGGGCATAAAAGTTGTCAGTGAGCCTACATTTTTATTTTTTATTTTTTTAAAAAAATCAGTTTACAAACATACAAAATATACAAATACGAAGAAAGGGAAAGAAAAAAGGAAAAGAAATGGAAAGGGGAAAAGGGAAAGGAAGGAAGAAAGGAAGGAAGAAAGGAAGGAAGAAAGGAAGGAAGGGAAATGAAAGAAAAAAGGGAAAGAAGGAAAAGGGAAAGAAAGGAGGAAGGTAAAGAAAGAAGGGGGAAAGGAAAGAAAGGGAAAGAAGGAAAAGAAAGAAGGAAGGAAAGAAATCGCAGAAAGGAAAAAATGGGAAAGGAAAAGAAATGGAAAGAAAGTACATAGATGGGGAGAGAGGAAGGAGAATTGCTGACTTGAGAGGAAGGAAGGAAGAAGAGGAAAGGTGGAAAGAAGGAAGAAAAAAGAGAGGCCCCCTCTAATGGTGGGCAGCCACTGAAGTGCTCGGTTTGGCTCCCCCCCCCTCCAAGCAGGGGGAAACCAAAGGGACCGCTGAAATGGCTTCCTGCCCTTTAAAGCAAACAGCTGACTGTTAGAATCACAAGTTAGCTGTTCGCTTTAAAGGGCTGGCAGCTCCCCTTCCCTTCCTCCCCTGGGAGAGGGGAAGGAGACCTTAGCTGGTGTGATAGAGGGAGCTGGGTGGGACCGGCTGCAGCACAGCGGCAGCCCGGGGGAGGGGAGGATGGGGCCAACCCAGGAGGGCCCCTGCACTGAGCTAATGAGCTCTGCACTGGGGGGAGGATCAGTGCACCAGCGCAGGCTGAGCACATTAGTGGGAACCCTTCCTGCATGGTGTTTAGGCTGAAGGCAAAGAAAATTGTGAGGGGGGGCATAGCAAGACCTGAAGAAGAGTCCCAAAAATGTAGTAGAAAAATTGGTGGTAGAAAGTGCCATCAAATTACAGCCAACTTATGCTGACCCTTTAAGGTTTTAAAGACAAGAAATGAAGAGAGGTAGTTACCGTTGCCTACCTCTGCACTGCAACCCTGGACTTCCTTGGCGGTCTCCCACCTAAGTACAAACCAGGGCTGACTCTGTTTAGTTTCCTAGATCTGACAAGATCAAGCTAGACTGGGTCATCCATGTCAGGGCAATAAAAAATTACTTAAACAGAAAAATGGTTTTAATTAAAAATTCTTTTCTAATCCCTAACACATTTTGATAACCCCTATGTCATCCACCCTGAGGATGCTTATCAAAAAGGCTTAGGGATTTCTCCCCCATTAAAAAGTAATTTTGTTTAAAAAGTTAAAATGTTTTTCCTGTGGCACCTTTTTGGCTTCACTTTTGCCTCGCTCCCTGTGGCCTGATACCCAAGATCCTACTTTCCTTGTCTATGTGCCTTCTGAACACATGAAGTTTGCTTATACTGAGTATACCAAAACTGTACACAAAAAGGACACCAAAACGATGGATGTAAAAATCCAAAGTATATTCTTGCAATCTTCCATTATACAAAATCTTCATGTGCAATACAGAGCTAAATATACTAAACACCTAATGATCAAATACGAGTTCCCCAGGTTCAAGATTCATTTCAAATCCTTAGAATCCTGCTTCATACTTAAGGGTTTCCGCAAACAACCGTCTCATTAATTCAGATGAAGAGATCAACTGTTTACGTGACAATCATGACACCATGTAAGTAAGTAGCTGCGGCTTCTCATTAAAATATGAAGTTTAATATTATTAATGGCGCTATTAAATGTGCAAAATGTATCCCCAGGAGAAGGAAGGAAGGAAGGGATAGTAACAGATTATTAAGTCTGAAAGAGGACTCTAACTATCTGAAATGAGTCTTGAGCCCAGGGAACTGTCAAATTGTTACTTAAAGAAAATAATTAGGCTGAGTTGGAAGCTTTACAATCTAATGCTTTTTGAAGGCTAGAGAGAAAACAAGGAATGCCATGCCCCACTGGTTAGCATGTGAGTCGCCCACCCTTCTGGAAAATTAACTGACAGACTACCAATTTACAAAAGATCGGCACTGTGTTTATCTGCAACTCTGTGTTTAAATTCTTTCCTTAATTGGTCATTGCTCAGCCTGAGCTGAACCAAGGAGGACAAATGATACCCAAAGTGCCCCTAAGACATCAGAGGAAAGCTGGGGGAAAGACTGGGTCGCTAACTGGCCGTCCTGTGCCTTGAACTGCAGCTGGATGTGCAGGCCTCCCAACATGGAAATAAACATGTGCACCTGTTGCTAATATCCGCAGAGCAAGCTGCTGTTGAAAGGAATGTGCAGGGCTGAGTCAAATTGGTTGACAATCCTAGGAGAAGACTACCTCTCTAATTTGTGCTGGTGTGGGCTAAGGAGATCTGAGTTCCTCGAGTTTGTTTCTGTGGCTGCTCTGAGATTATTTTTTATTACTCCATTTCATGTCGTTTTTTTCAAAGAGCTCAAGATGGCATACTTGTCTCTCCCCTGTTCCATCTTATCCTCACAACAACTCTGTAAGGTTAAGTTAGACTGACACAGAACAACTGGCCCAGTGAGCTTCATGGCCAGTGGGGATTTGAACCCGGACCTCCCATATCCTAGTGCAGCACTCTAACCACTACAGCACACTGATAAGGCGGGTGTCGGACGGGATGTCTTCTGGTCAGAACGGGAGGCAGACACTCACCCACAAGACACTTCAAGCAGCCTTTGGTATCTGCTATCTTGGCCGACAGTGCAAACTTCCTGCCAGGAAGAAGGGAGTTTTAGATTGGAGGAGGGAGATGAGATGGTGACAACCCAATGGGACAAAATAGGACCTGGAGAGCCTCCCGGCTCCCCATTGCAATACCTTCTGCCCCTCTTCTTCCCCTAGAGCCTACCCAATCCTCCCAACATAGTGGAGTTGTTCCAAACACTTCATTTTAAGTCTCAGAACCCAATCTCCCATGCCAGGCTTGGTTCTCGAGCAACATGAAGAGAAACACGGCAAAGCACAAGGCGCAGCGCTGCAGGAGGCAAAACATGAACACGTACATGTGCAGGGAGCCTGCCACTGTCGAGTGACCACAAGGTGGAGCTAGCCACTGGAACTACCACTGGAAGCGCTGAGCTGGGATACGATAACAGCTCTCCAAGACCCCCAGCCACTGATCCAGCTCTATCTTCCTCACCAGGGCCAGCTCTTCCACTAGGCCAACTAGGGCGACAGCCTAGGGCGCAGATCTCTGAGGGGCGCAGCGAGGCCCCTGCCGCCACCGCCTGCCCATCCCCAGCATGGCTTTCTGGGCGCCCCTGCTCCACAGCGCACCCCTTCCCGCCGGCTTGCTTCGCCTCGCGCCCCCGCCTCCGTGACAATAAGTTGGACATCACACGGCATCACACAATAGCCTGGGCTGCCACAAAAGAGCCGCGTGGGAGCCGTCGGCGCTTTTCAAGGGCTTCTCTTTTCTCCTTGCTCTTTTGCCTCCGGGCTCAACCAGCAAATCCCGCTCGCCTGGGCGCCTTTGTCGCCTCCGGAGTGGCTCAGCAGGGCAGCGGTGAGAGAGAAGAGTCGCTTTGCTTTCAACCAGAGGGCACTGGCACCGCGCAGCCCTGACGGGACGGGAGGAGGCGCTTGCCAAAGGAAAGGTAGCTCAGGTGCTGCTCTCTGGGTACAGCGAATGAGGGGGAGGGCAACACCCACCCGAGCCAAGCAGGCCCTGGCGCTTCCCTCCTGGCTGGGATTTCTTGCGGGCCTGTGGGACGCGGGGGGGGGCAGGGCCTGCTCCTCTGGGAAAGGGCTGGAGAGAGTGGGACTATTTCCTCCTCCTCCTCTCTTGCGATGCACTAGACTAGCCCTGGGTCCCAGAGAGACGGAAGCCAGGGCTCCTGCAGGCAACTGCTCCGTGGGGAGATGGCCACCGGGGCCTGTAGCTTAGGGGAGTTTACAAACAAACGAACAAGGAAACCCCGGAGCAGAGTTTGGCAGGTAATAACGATGAGAATGAAATAGAGCCTCCATGTTGGGTGAAGGGGGGGCGCCACGAGGCAGCCTCGCCTGGGGGGGGGGGGGCCACAAGCTAGCCTCGCCTAGTGCGCAAAAAACCCTCAGGCCAGCCCTGTTCCTCACCCCCCCCTCCCATTGAGCAAGGCATTGGCAATGAAATAACAATCTCAATTCATTGAACAAGTTTCTAGTCCTTCACAAATACAGATAAAACCTTAATGTCCACACAGCCTCAACAGCTTTAAGCCCACCCCACTATGGCTATTGCAGGAGATTCAGGAGCCTTCCCTGTGGCTGCCTCTGTCCTTCCCACAGCTCCTTCTGTACACTCCATATGGCTCCTCCTCCTCCTCCTCCTCCCTTGTCATGGCTGCCAGAAGGTATCTGAAGAGACAAGGGGTGCCTTAATGTTAAGACAGGTTCAGAGGGGAAGCCATGTTGGTCTGCAGCAGAAGTGCTAGATTCAAGTCCAATGGCACCGAGGAGACCAGCAAGATTTCGGGGGTATGAGCTTTTGCTCCCTTCGTCCACGTATCTGATGTAGGAAGCTCTGACTTGTGAAAACGTACACCTTCAAAATCTTGTTGGTCTCCCAGGTGCTACTGGACTCAAGTAAGCTTAACATTAAGATTGCCCCTCCACCTTTCCCAAAAAGGGATACTAACCCCCTCCCCTTAAGGGAAGCGTGGTCCCCCCCTCACCTCTCCCCACCTGGGGATGATTCGCTCAGTCAGCCGGTTGGTGGCGATGGAAAGAGGAACCTGCCGCTTCTGCAGCTGACGCCGTTGCTCAAAAAGACCCAGAAGGTTGTGGGAGGAGATCTGGGAAGACTTCCCTGCAACGCAAAAAAGAAGGAAGATGTGGCCAAGTTCCACAGCAGCCTGCAGGTTCGGGAGGGAGGGGCCATATTTTATGGGCAGAACCTGCCCCCCCCCGGTCCAGCTCCCATACAAAGCTCCTCCTGTCACTGTTCCCCCCCCCCCCAAGCTCTGCAGAATCCCGTCACGACACACCATCTCCAGTTATCCCACATCCACCTAACCAGGTTTAAACATATGAATCTATTGTCTACAGTCAGCTCTTTGAGCCCAGGATGGCCACAGTGCTCCAAATATCAGGCTCAACAGTTCTTCTCCCAGCCGTGCCATTAAGAGATTTCCCCCCCTGCTTTTGGCATGCAAACCACTTGCTCTTTCAGTGAGCAATGGGCTCTCAGTTAAGCCTTGAGGAAGTCCACTGCATTATTCCTCTTCTAGGTTTCGGGTAACTTGGATGAAGCCCCCCCCCCAATATATGATTAAAGTTTGCTCTTTTATGACTCTGGTTGCAAAAACAAGTAAGAAGTAATAATTAAGCTTCTGTTTTTGTTTTTCCCTTTCTATTCCACTGGGCACCTAGGTCTGACTGGCATTCTTTAGGATCAGGAAGAAATCCCCTCCCACATGACTTGGCTCACTTGCGTGAGCTATCTAAAGCTAACTGATCTTTGCAAGAAATATTGTGTTGAGAAGCAGTGCAGAGATACTTCAAATAAATTTGCTCAGGTAGTACCTCGTGCGTGTCACAGGGCAGTCTGAGTGGCATGGAACCAGTAGGTGTATGGTATTGGCTTGAACCCAAAGCCATCTCTAAACTGCGGCTTCACACAGCCTCAGTTTGCTTTGGGGACGTGCAAGGGATGGGGGGTGCCTGAACCTGGGTTCCTACAACTCCTACCCTCTCCTAGGCCCATAGCTGATGGGTGGAAAGGCCTGCAGGCCTCAGTGCAGCCTCTCTCTCTCACTTTGAGGCCTGGGGCCTTGCTCGGATCTTACCTATGGGCTTACATCTCCCAGATGCCTTCCAAGCCGGGAATGGGGCCTGGTGAAATTGGAGGGGAAAGGAAGACCAATCATCACCAAGAAGACTGGGCCATGAGAAAAATAATATAAGGTCCCTTGAAGAGGGAAGGTGTTCTTTTCCCAGGATCTGAGTGGCAGAGAAGACGCTACCAGCAGGAGAGGATCCCTCACCCAAAAGAAGGTGGGATGGACCCTGGAAGGGCAAGGTACAGTAGGGACCGCTGACATAGCCATGTTAAGAAGCTTTCTTTCCAGCTCCTGTATGTGTTAATCTTGCCCTGATTTTTGAAAATGTATTCTCCGTTAAAGCTGTTGCTCACAAGTACTTTTGCTTCCCGCTTGCTTGGTTGCTACCCACCACCATTCAATAAAGCAGTTTGTTTTAGCCTGCCTGCCTCCTCATAGGGCTTCACTGTCCACCTGCCAATGTCCTCACTAAAAGAGAGGCCCTGCTTGGAAGGATGAAGGGAAGGGGGATACTCTGGGCCCTCCCTGGTTTGAACCCCCCCCCCAAACACACCAGGTTGCTGGCAGCCAGACAAGGCCATTGCCTGCACCAGGGCTGAAGGGGACAGGAGGGAGAGGGGGTGGCCTGTGGGGTTAGAGGACTCCTAGGAGGGGACACTGACTTCAGACAAACTCCCACATGGTCTCCTCATACCAGAAGCGGAGGATTAACCTCCACCACACCTCCTGCTTCATTAGCATTCAAAGGAAAAAACAGACCAGGGGAGCCAGTTTCAATTAGCAGAACCTGGAGGATGTTGAAGCATTTGTGTGGCAGGACTGGGTGTCTCCCGGGTGACCTGTAGTACTGCAGCCCATAGCCAGATGGGTGAAGGTCTAGAATCCCTTGGTCCCATTCCCCTAAGCACATGCAGGCCTCTCCAGTCAGTTCAGCTAGTCGTTTATTCTGTCCTTCAGGCTCACAGCACTCTTCCCGCCTCATGGCTCCCAAGCTCCCCTCGCTACTCCTTCCCGCCTCATGGCTCCCAAGCTCCCCTCGCTACTCCTTCCTGCCTCATGGCTCCCAAGCTCCCCTCGCTACTCCTTCCCACCTCATGGCTCCCAAGCTCCCCTCGCTACTCCTTCCCGCCTCATGGCTCCCAAGTTCCCCTCGCTACTCCTTCCCGCCTCATGGCTCCCAAGTTCCCCTCGCTACTCCTTCCCTCCTCATGGCTCCCAAGTTCCCCTCGCTACTCCTTCCCGCCTCATGGCTCCCAAGCTCCCCTCGCTACTCCTTCCTGCCTCATGGCTCCCAAGTTCCCCTCACTACTCCTTCCCACCTCATGGCTCCAAGCTCCCCTTGCTAGTCCTTCCCGCCTCTTGGCTCCCAAGTTCCACTTGCTATTCCATCTGCCATTCCCCCAGAGAAACCTCTCACTGCTGTTTTTAAGCCTTGCCTCAACAACCACTCTGGCTTGGCTGACCTCCTGCCCCACCTGCTCCCAGCTACTGCTGCTGGCTTCTGGCCTGACCCATGTCCATGGCTGTTAGCCCTCATCAGCTCTCCTGGGGTTGGTCTGGCCTTTTCTGAGCAGGCTTCTAAGGGCTGTGAGTGTACCCTTTTGCTTCCAGCCATGCCTCAGGGCTTTCCTCATGAGGGGCCCCTCCCAGCCTCCGGTAAGTGGGTTCCCTCTCTAGCCCGTCCCTCTCACAATCTACCTCCCTCACACGGCACTGAGGCAAATTGAGGCTACACAAGCCTGCAATTTTGTCTTTTATATATGGATGCCCAAATCCTAAACTTGCCTTGTGGTCTCTCCCAACCCCATCATCTGTAGTCCAAAATCTGAGGACCACTATCCGTGAAGATCCACCTCCCTAAACTGATCTTAATACCTACTAACAAGTTAAAGCGGGGGGCGGGATGGGGGGTGTTAGTAGTTCTGCCCCCCAAGAACTCACCAGCTAACGTCAGTAGCACGTTATTCATACAGTATAACCAAGAACACCTGTGTGGAAGGAGCTGGAGAGGGGAAAAGAAAGAGCAGCATTTAAACAGCTGTAGAACAACTTTTTTATTTTCATTATCTAAAAATAACAGGATAAGACAAGAGAGTACCCAAAGATAAATGTGATAGCCCTGAGTTTAATAATGCCCATAACCAGAAATGATAACATGCTGTTGTTCAGTCGCACAGTCGAGTATTTATTTATTTATTTATTTATATTTACATTTATATCCCGCCCTCCCCGCCACTCGGCAGGCTCAGGGCAGCTAACAACATATATAAAAACACATTAAAATTCTATTAAAACTGTCAGTCAGTTTAAAATCATACAACTTATATTAAAAGATGGTGAATCTTCTGATATCAACTGTCAACTGAACACTGTCCACCGGCTCACGCCCAGCTATAAAGCCTCGGTTGGTGGCACCATTGGTACTGTCAGTACCAATAGTGGAACAGTTGTTGGCACAGTTGGTAATCAGGCCAGGGCCAGTTGTTGACACAGTTGTAATCAGGCCAGGGCTAGGGCCACAGCCATACGATCGAGGCGGCACCCTACTTAAAAGCCTGGCGGAAGAGCTCCATTTTACAGGCCCTGCAGAACTATAAAAGGTCCCGCAGGGCCCTGATGTCTTCTGGGAGCTTGTTCCACCAGTGAGGGGCCGCCACAGAAAAGGCCCTGGCCCTCATTGTAACCAACCTGGCCTCTTTAGGCCCCGGAAGAATCAGGCGATTTTGGGAGCCCAATCTTAGTGCTCGCTGGGGTACATGCGGGGAAAGTCGGTCCCTTAGGTAAGCAGGTCCCTATTTGAAACATTTCAATTCAGTGTTGTCTTCTCTGACTCAAGGTGGCTAACACAACACCAGGTTGCAAGGGCACAAAAAACAACAACGATTCAATTAAGATTTTTTTTAAATGCACAGATTACATGGTGAAAACACCACTGAGAATTAAAATGAATTCAGCCACATCTGCCCAAATGATGCACTGCTGTCACAATGATCATTTGCGGCTCCCTTCAGCTGCAGAACAAAAGAGGCTGATATTTTCTATAAATGTGCACCACTGTAACAAGCCAATCAAATGTTTCTGAATGGAGGTCTCAGAAGAAGACTAGGTGAGATTTTTTGGGCTTTCTGATAATCCGTAAAAGTAACGAGACAAAAAACTGAAACTTGATTTACTTTTAAAACTGTTACTTGCCATAAACACTAGGCACTTTGATAATTTTAGCATTTATCTTCACAGTAATTGTAGGGTTAACATTTTTCATGCCCATATATATATATATATTTGTCTTGCTCAATAAAAAGAATAATCTCTTATCTCGGTAAAAAAGTTTCTGTAGGTGTTCTGTCTGGTTCGCTGGTTACATTTTCAAAGAATCGAACTCACTTCCTTACTGTTTTGCATTATCAGAATGAAAGCTTGTTAATCACCCTTTAATAGATAGATCCTGGAGAACTCTCCTTCTAAACAGTTTTGCACAGGCAAAGTCTGTTGGATGCGGGAGGGAATCTCTCCTTATACACCTACTACCTGATCCTTTTAACTGGAGGTGCCAAGGATTGAACCTGGGACCTTCTGCACTCCAAGCAGATGCTGTGGCACTGAACCACAGCCCCTCCCATCAACCACCCTCCTCGGTCCCCACACCCCTCCAGGCTCACCTTTTCCATGGTGTCTTCATGGAGTTCATGCAGGTTGAGGGTGTAGATGCCTTCCTCAGCCCCCACCACCAAGTAGAGATCTGCAAGAAGAAGGAAGTCAGATCACAGATTGCAAGCCACGGATTATAGGGGTGGCAAGGTAGAAGAGGGTGCAGGCCCTACCTCGTGTTTCTGGGTGCATCCACGTCGTGGCTGAATTGATCTTCAGCGGGCAGCCATTGAACACTTTGGAGAAGCAGGCTCCCATCTAGGGAAGGGGGAGCACAGGTATAGGTAGGCAGCAGTGGTTTCATCAGAAGCAGTCCAACTGGAGCAGTGTTTCAGGATTCTGCCTTTCTGGCACTGCTTCTACTGCTCTCCAGGAAAACCTTCTGCCATAACTCTCCCCCAGTTTACCAAAGTAGCTTCCCAGTTTACCAAAGTAGCTTCCCAGGAAACGTGGCCAAGAGAGACTCTGCTGCAAAAGGAACTTACGTGAACTTTCGGGGTGGGCGGCAGCCCGTGACAAATTAACCTCTGCAGAGAACAAAGAGGAGAGAGAAGACAGTCAACTAGGAACGTGGAAAGATGGTGTTACTTTTAAAGGGCAGGACACTGGCTTCCCTTGACTAAGGGTCCTAATCTTTGGCCCTCCCTTTAACCAGGGTGACTCTTTTTCCACTGGGGAAAGGAGACCTCTTCAATGACAGGTAAGGGGTGCGTCTTCACTAGAGTGCATCTCCACTCCCACAGCTATGGCTCTCATCCAGCTGGTCCTGCCTCCCAGCCCATCCCTCTTCTGTACCCCCACTATACCTCACTCACCTCCTGGATTTCAGTGCAGAATCAAGAAGCCACCACCACCCATGTCACCCCACTAATATTCTTCCATAAAACCAAGATGCCCTAACTCCTGCGAGGGGCCTTAATGATCTTTCTCCTCCTGCTTCCAATCTGTACTGTGGCCTCTTCCCTTGGAGTTTTAAAAGAGGGAGTCCCCACCCATACCCGCACTCACAGTGGCCTCTTCTTTCCTCTTCATGGTGGCCCACTCTGTGGAGAGGAGTGAATCTGCAGGTTTTGGAGAGCCAGAGGCCACAGTATCCGGAGCATTATTCAACTCTGTCCGATCTGTGGACACAGAGGTGAAATGTCCAAAAAAAAGCAAGCACTCAGACTGGAGCAGTATTCCAGGATTCTGCCTACTGATTTTCCCCCCCATGTCCTGCCCACACTAAAAAGGAATTCTAAGAGGCTCATGGGCAGACGGTGTGCTTTGCTTGCGTAAGGTTGTATAAAAACATACATTACTTGATCAGGAAAGCTACTATGGAAATGCATACACTACACTGCACACAAACACTGTCCAGGATTGAGCTCTGGGCAAATCCATTCTACTACGCTGCAGAAGCTAGATGTGCTCAGAGCCGCTTGGCTAGTGCTCGTAAAGTCACCAACCCACCTCCATACCCCATTTCCCAAAGCAGGTTTACAGCTCTTTCCAAATAGTTTTTCCTTTTCTAAGAAAAAAAATGCAGAACAAACCTTTAACTGAATATTTTTGAAAAGGCTGATAGCCTAGTCTACAGAGCAGGAAAAGGAATATAACAGCCAACTGATACCAGTGGTTGAATTGCTAATTGCTAATGAATACTTCCTGTTGTAGTACAGGGGGAAAGGATTTTCTCATCTTTTTATTTATTAAATCCAACTTTTAGGCCACCCTCCCCCTGAAGAACAGGGATTAGGGAAAACAGAACTGGGAAAACAGACCTGGATTGGAAGCAATGTGGGTTTCTGCTGAACACACAGAGCAGAAACTAACTATGCATAGCACTAACTGGCTAATGCGTGTCACATCAACCACCCCATCCTAATTCCCCAGAGTACTGCTAACAGTCTTTTAAAATAGATTTTCCTCCTAAAAGCACAAGCCAACCAAATAAAGCAACTAGTATACTCATGTAAAGTTTGTAATAGCACTCTCCAAAAGAGAAAAGTCCTATCCTGTTTCCAATCTGTACTGTGGCCTCTTTCCTTGGAGTTTTAAAAGAAGGAGTCCCCACTCTCATGTGCTTGCCTCATGCGGGCTGAGGTGCCAGACCTGGCACATTCTTCCCACTGACCCCTTCTTCCTGTTACCTGGGTTCTCTGCTTGCCTCATGGGGGCTGAGGTGCCAAACCTTGCTTCGCTATGCTTTCTTCATTTGCCATGATTGCTGGGGGAAGGGAATTCCTGAGGGGAGTGTGTGTGTGTGTGTGTGTGTGTGTGTGTGTGTGTGTGAACCTTTTCTTGTAAAAAGCCCTAACTTTTCTGTAAGATGCACCTCCTTTCCCATTCCCAGGGGAAGGTGTCCTTGGACCTTTTTGTGCCAGCTTGAACTCAGATAAGAAACCATACATTTTTCCAGAGGTTGTCATGGCAATAGTAGGTGCTGGACGTGAAGTGTGAGAGGGGCATGGGCTTTGTTTGAATTACCTATATTAAGGCAAAAGAGTGGCAAAAATTCAGTTCTGACACAGGTTCTCTTCTGGATCGTGCATATATCTCAATAAACCTATCACTGCCAAAGTGTGTGGTGTTGAGAGTAACTTGACCGGGAGTCTGACAGCCTGGCACATTCTTCCCACTGACCCCTTCTTCCTGTTACCTGGCAGGGTCTGATTTCTGTGACATTCCAGGTCTGGGCACTCAAGGCCCTCTTCGTGTTCCCAAGGAGCCTTATATGCCAACTCCATGTTGAGAAAGTCCCAGAAAGGCCCTCTCCTTATGGTGCCTGTGTCACCCTCATCAGTACCACTGGGCCGCTGCTCCTCCTGGGCCTGCACCAGGAACCAAAAAAAAAAAAATTAAGGGGAAAGTCTGGTTAAAGGAAGGGATGGAATTAGGACAGCTGGAACGTACCTGTTGCGGGGAACATGCTGGGCGAATTGTTAAGCTCCTGCATGTGGAAAATAAAGTAACAGAAAAAAGACATCTGAAGGTGCATATTTAACACGTGGTTTCAAATCCACACGTGGCTTTCCTTGGGCCTGTCACTATCTCTCAGCCTGAGTTACCTCACAGGGCTGTTGTGGGGACTGGGGATTAAACTGGGGAAGGAGGGAGAATCACGTGCACCCCTCTTGAGCTCCCTGGAGGAAGGGTGGGACAAAAACAAATGGATAAACAGAACAAATCCATTTTTCATGCCTGAGCTCAATCCTGGAATACGCAAAGCGGTCTTGAACATGTGCAGAGTGCCCTTCCCTGATCCCCACAAGCAACCATATTTTGCCACAACACCTCTGAAAGGAAGGGTTCCGAGCCAGTTTGGTGTAGTGGCTAAGTGCGCGGACTCTAATCTGGGAGAACTGGGTTTGATTCCCCACTCCTCCACTTGCACCTGCTGGATGACCTTGGGCAAACCATAGTTCTGGCACAGCTGTTCTTGAAAAAGAGCAGGCTCTGTCAGAGCTCTCTCAGCCCCACCTACCTCACAGGGTGTCTGTTGTGGGGAGGGGAAGGGAAAGGAGTTTGTAAGCCGCTCTGAGACTCCTTTGGGTAGTGAAGAGCAGAGTATAAATCCTATCTCCTCCACCTCCTCCTCCTCCCTAAACCTTCCTTTTAGAACTTGTCCTCCTCTCGCAATGGAACTTACATCTTCCTCCTCCCTCCCTCCTCTATCAGCCTAAACTCATTAAAAGCCCCCAAATGAAGCCAGTTAAAAAACTTGCAAAGTTTTGTAGTAGAGGTAAGCTTGGGGGGCCCTTTCTGAGAAGAGTAGGTCTGTGATGATCTATTTGGTTGCCCCTACCAAGCAACACCAAGGGAAACAACAAAGCCCCCCCCATTCCCCCCCTCCCTCACCACAGCTTACCTCTCCTCAAGCGCTTCTTCCACAGACTGAAGGAGACTCCTAGGGAAGAAAACAAGACAGGGCAGAAGTAATGACTACCCCGTCCCCTGCTCAGGATCTTTGCTTCCCCCTCCTCCCAAACCACCAGGCACCCTACCTTGGACCCACTACATTCTGTCCCCTTCCCCCTAAGACTGCCATCTTTATTTGGAAGAGTCCCTATGTCCTTAATCACTAAAAGAGGGTGTGTGTGTGGGGGAAAGCATCAGCTAGCTGCCTGAGGGGAAAAGCTGCAACGGCAGAACTCGTGTAAGCTCTGCACCTTGTCCAAAAGACAAGGCAGCGTTCCTATTCACTGCAATGGGCAGAGGAAAGGGAAGCCTCCCCCCAACCTTCCAAGGCGCCTCCCCAACACCACCAGTTCCTTACTCTCCATCTCCTAAAAGCATCCAGTTCTCCTCCTCCTCCTCCTTCTGCAAACAAACAAGACACATCATGAACAGTCTTCCAAGTCTAGAATGAAAGGACCCCACCGCCGGACCACATCCCCGTGCCCCCACGATTGCCGGTATGAGGAATGACCAAACTGACCCACATGCTTACCAGACTGCACCAAGGTTCTGTTTCTTTTCTCAGCAGAGGACCAAATTTCACCTGATTAACTGTACAAGAAGAAAAAGTCAGCCATGCACTCGGGAAGAGGCTCCCCCCCCCCCTGCTTCAAGATCCAAAATGTTCAGATCCATTTACGTAACACTGCCCGAGCAGAAGGAGCGGGGCATGTCTATAGGCACATGTGAAGGACAACTGCATCTGCAGTGCAACGTATCCTCAAACAGAACCACAGTGGTCCAGTTTTTCAAGGGGCAGGACACCCAGGTCCTGGCTTGCGCCCCACCCTCTCCAGAGAGCCCTTTCACCTACAAGTCTACATGCTTCCTCTGGAGACTCCTGTTTTTAAGAACATAAAAAGAGCCCTGCTGGATCAGACCAGTGGTCCATCTAGTCCAGCATCCTGTCCCACACAGGGGCCAACCAGTTCCTCTGGAGGGCCAACAACAGGGTATAGAGGCCAAGGTCTTCACTTGATGTTGCCTTCTGGCACTGGGATTCTCAGCTTTACTGCCTCTGAACGTGGAGATTCCCTTTAGTCACCATGGCTAGTAGCCACTACTAGATCTATCCATGAATCTAGCCAATCCCATTTTGAAGCTATCTAAGCCTGCGGCCTTTGTCTGGAAGGGCTCAAGTACTTTTACCGGATGGAGGAGCCACAGGACCCCTGTACGCCCATAAGCAATTATGGAGGAGAGGAGGGATGCAGAGTCAGGTGATACCAGGGAGGGGGGTAATGGTGTTTGTAGGGCAGGACAAGATGGCCAGTGCTGGAAACTACCATGCAGGTGAGAGGGGACATGGCGGGACAACTCACGTTGGATCTCTGCGAGGGTGCCTTCGACTTGCCCATGCTGCTGACGCGAACGGATTTTGTCAGGAAAGATTTCATAAGCCTGAATGGACAATATTTTTTTAAACACACATGCACGCATGAGCAGCCCTGCTAAAATCAGACCAAAGCCCCTTCGAGTCTGCCCACCTGTTTCTAGCACTTGTCCCAGCCTAATATATTTTTTAAAACTACCTGATTTTAGGGGCCATGACTTGTGGTAGTGAATTTCAGAAGTCAAATATGCACTGTGTTAAAAACAGATCTTTCCTGTCTGTCCTGAGCCTATGACGATTAACAGGGTGACTATTAACACTTGCCCCTCTCCACCTCCTCTTTTGAGACCGTACCTCAAAATCTCCATCATCCAGGGGAGCAGATGCCAAGTCAGGATTCGTGGCTTTGTCCAGCAACTCAATGGCTAACAGGCGAGCAAGAGGCTGGCAGACGAAAGGGTGCTGGTGGACAAGAAGGCAAAGTAAGCTGAGGAGATGGCTGAAGGATGCCCCCCCCCCGAGTTCTCTCTCTGGAACCCCCAAGTCTCCCTCCCACAACCACGGCAGCCATTCTGTATCACTCTCTTAGCCTCGTCTCTGCCGCAAGCAGGAGTATATCTTACGTCGTTCTGTCCAATGCTCCCTCTAAGCTGTGGAGTGTTGTAAGCAAAAATTCTACTGTGTGAGCTACTGGCATTAAGGTTGTGAGCGAGCGATTTGGCTACTGCACAGATTAGTTTGCTCTGGAGCCCTCCTTCCTGAGCTGAGACAAAAGTGTGTGAGCCGGAGGAGGATAAAAAACTGTGAGCTAGCTCACACTAACTCAGCTTAGAGGGAACACTGGTTCTGTCAACCTTTTCACTGACAAATTACTTTAAAAAAAACAAACCAACAACCACACAGCTGCTGGGGAAGAAGTGCATGTGGCACGTGAGGCTGTTTAACCCTTTCTCCCTCGTCTCGTTTTTCTGGCCGAAGAACTACTTGAAGGTGGCAGTTTTTCAAAAGGTGAATGGGACAAGAGGCAAGGCTTAAAAACGGCCTGGGTGCCGATGACACCCTTCCCCTTCAGATCACAGTGCCAGATGCTGAATGCTGATTGTGTGAATTTAGGAAGATCATGAGGGCAGGAAGGGATGACTCTGGGTTCACCTCTCATGGCCCTTTCTTTATATGCCCAGGATGATGCCGAACACCACCTTGGGGGTCAGGAAGGAATCTGGCCCAGGGATCCTGGAGGTTTTTCGTCCTCTGGTTATAGAGCAGGGGTCACTGGGGGAGTGGGGGGGGGAGGTAGTTGAGAATTTTCTGCATTGTGCAGGGGGGGTTGGACTAGATGACCCTTGAGGTCTCTTCCAGCTCTATGTTTCTATGCTCTAAAAAGGAGACCAGTTAAAAGGATCACACTACTACACAAAACATGTAATGCTGCCCCAAGAACCAGAGAAGTGCTTTAAAATGTTAATAATATTATTTACTATAAATGATCTGTCCTACTAATCTTATTTCTCTCTAGAAGGATATTTAAGAAGAGAAGAAGAAGAGATTGGAATAATACCCCGCCCTTCACTCAGAGACTCAGAGCGACTTACAAACTCCTTTCCCTTCCCTTCCCCACAACAGACACCCTGTGAGGTAGGTGGGGCTGAGAGAGCTCTGACAGAACTGTCCTTGAGAGAACAGCTCTGACCGAACTATGGCTTGCCCAAGGTCATCCAGCAGCTGCAAGTGGAGGAGTGAGGAATCAAACCCAGTTTTCCCAGGTTAGAATCCGCGCACTTAACCACTACACCAAACTGGCTCTCTTTAAAGCTTTACCTTGTGGATACTTTTAAGATATACCCCCCACCCCTTTTGGTTTTAGCCACCGTCATGAAATGGGGTTTTTCCTGTCCCATTCAGTCACCTGAAGGAGTTTTTCTGCCACGGGACGCTTCTTGGGGTTCTTGGTCAGGGCCAGTTTGAGGAAATGATGAAAATCTGCAGACCTGTAAGAGACACACAGGAGAGGACAAATCAGACGATATATACCTATTCATTATTTTAGTTATTTAAACATTTATAGGCAGGCCCCTAGCCACGGTAGGGCTATTCGGGGGCTACACCCCCACGAGATTTCCCTCTGAAAGTGTTTTTTTAATTCATTTTTTAATCATTCCCCTGCCTCTCGTATTCATCCCAAGTCTCTTATTCAGCACGAGTTCTGCCACAATGTTGGGCCCACATTCATCAAACCCTCTGGGGAAGGGGGAATAAAGCAAATGATGGCTGTCACAGCGGCAGCCCCACCAGAAAAAGGCTTGCCCCACAACCCACAAATTCCTGGCTACGGGCTGACTTATTATACCCTTTGATGAAGGATTTTCTTTGAAACGGTCTGAATTTTACGTATGATACCGTCGGGGTATACGGGACAGTATTTTTTCTGTGGGCTGTCACTGCCCCTTGTAGGGCTTGTGCTTGTGGACTATTTAGGATAGTGTTTCTTTCAAGAATTATCATTCTGTGGTTTGTGAGACTTTACGATGTACATTACATTTTCTTGAAGTACTGTATGTGTGTATATATTCAGTATATTTAATATATTTCTATGCGCATTATTGGAGCTGCGGTGGCTCAAGTGGTTAAGACGCTGAACTGCAGGCTGTGGAAGGTCAGTAGTTCAGCAGTTCGAGACCCAAGTTGCCGCATGACGGAGTGAGCTCCCATCTCTAGTTCCAGCTCCTGCCAACCTAGCAGTTCGAAAGCAAGAAATTGCAAGTAGATAAATAGGTACCACTTCGGTGGGAAGGTAACAGCGTTCCGTGCACCTTGGTGTTTAGTCATGCCAGCCACATGACCACGGAAATGTCTTCGGACAGCGCTGGCTCTTCAGCTTTGAAACGGAGATGAGCACCGCAACCCTAGAGTCAGATTCGACTGGCTTTCGAGCAAGGGAACCTTTACCTTTTTTAAATGAGCATTATTACTTGTCTTTGGGGGAAAATTGGGGGGAGGGTTTTTATCTTTCCACTATGGACACAGCAGCAAGCAAGATAGATGTGGGTGGAAACAGAGTTCACGCACTCTGCCCCTCCACTGCATCAGGACAGAAGTGCCAACAAGATGGGAATCTTGCTGCCACCCCCCCGCAACTCAGCAAGCTGCCTCCCTGCTTCACAGCTGAGCAAAACCACACTTTTAAAGGTAGGGTTGCCAACTCCCAGGTGGTAGCTGGAGATCTCCTTGGATTTCAACTGATCTCCAGGCAAGAGAGATCAGTTCTTTTGGAGAAAATGGCTGCTCTAGAAAGTGAACTCTGTGGCATTCTACCCCACTGTAGTTCCTCCCCTCCCCAAGCCCCGCTCTCCTCAGACTCCACTCCCAAAATCTCCAGGAGTTTCCCATCCTGGAGCTGGTAACCCTTATTAAAAGGGCTGAAAGGGACAGAAAACCTGCAGCTAAATTCCGCCATTTTGAAGAGGGGTCTTAGCTCCGCCCCTCCCCGGATTAGCTGCAGGCAGAGTTTCCACACAAAGACTTTGCATGCAGCCAGCCACCCGGCCATTTGCCCCTTCAAGCGGCAGCAAGAGGAGGTTTTCCCTTTGCTCTGGCTGAAAGGGAAAAGCCCAGGAGGTTCACATGTCAAGATCTAACAGAATAGGTTGTCATGTTGAAATCCCCTCCCCTTCGAAGCAGGGGCAATGTGCCATGTTCCATCCAGGGGAAAGTCACCATCTGGGAGCAGACTGAAGAAGGTCCAGAGTGGTGGTGGTTGCTGTACTTACCAGCACGTCTTGTCTTTTAGCTTGGGGGGTTGGAAGCTGCTTTTGGACAACATCATCAGGGCCCTAAAAGGAAAGGGGGGGGGAACGATCACTGCTGGGTTTGCCAGCCTCCAGGTGGAGCCTGAAGCTTGCCCGGAATGACAACTGATCTCCAGAGAACAGAGATCAGTTCTCCTGGAGAAAACAGCTGCTTTGGAGGGTGGACTTTATGGCCTTATATCCCACGAAGGTCTCTCCCCTCCCCAGGCTTCACCCTCTCTAAATCTCCAAGGGTTTTCGAACCCAGAGACAGTAACCCTAATCCCGACTCCTTTCTTTCACTTACACTGGCTAACTACTGGCCAAAAGGATCCTGCCACCATTTTAAAGATATTCTAAAATGCCACGAGGGCCTGACCCGGACTGGGCCCACAGCATGGCGCTCTTGCTTCCCTCCACACTTTTTCAAGTGCCAAAACAGGATCTAGAACCTACTTACTTGTGGGTTACTCACCTGAAATTACAGTGTCTAAAATTTTTTTTAACCCAAGACAAAAGGCTTTGTTTGAGGCCTCTGCAAATCTCCTGACGGAATTGCAAGCAAACTGAGCGCAGCTGGGGAGGATACAGCCCTCACTGAAGGGGCCTGGGCTTTTCCTCTGCCAAGTGGGCAGGGAGCGTTTCTAAGCCAATCGGTGAGAACGCTTCCAAGGTCAAGCAGCAGCAGCTTGCCCAAGGCTTCTCAGCAGGGCTCACAACCAAATGAATCTGGGTCTCCTACATTCTACATTAACTGCTGTTGTCATCTGTTGGCAGCGATGAGCTCACGACACTGAGGAAGGAGAGAGACTCTGGAAGGGTAGAGACAGACGGACAGGATAAGGGAGCCTCCTGGCACCACCCCCTCTAGTTTCACGAAGTGCTCTCTCTGTATATACATCTACAATAGCTGGAAACTGCTTTGGAACCCTGGAATATGTTCCTTTCGAAAATGTGTACCTCACCCTTTCCACAGAGCACAGGGCAGCCAAACAACGTGAAGCTAGTTTTTGACTGGGTTGTGATTTTACCTCATAGGATGCAGGTCAAAAAGGGGGGGCTGGAGCTCAGCCAGTTCGATCGCCGTGATGCCAAGGGCCCAGATGTCACACAAGTGGTTGTAGCCGCCTTTCTTTTCCACCGCGGCCACCTCCGGTGCCATCCTGGGACAGGGAAAAAGACAGTGAACATGGTGGTGGGGGGGAGGAAAGGAAGTAGCAGAGGCAGCCCTGCAGCCCAGCTAAACTCCACAGAAGGCACCCTCCCCCACTGCCTCGGTCATCTGATTTTGCCAAACCGTCACAACTGTTTCACTCCCAATTCCTTCTGGAGTGTGATTTTCAAAGCATCCCTTGCTGGGTGAGTTTATCTTACAAACTCAAACATGTCTAAACCGTCATGGCTCCCAAGCACCGGATTCAGAAAATGACAGTTCTGTAAAGATGCCATAGAACTGTGACAGGATCCAAGAAGCTCAGGGGAAGTTTTTGTTCTGCAATGTTTAGGGCCAAGACAGGCAAATTATGAACACAGAACTCGCAGTGGTTCTCCCTGTCACAGCTGAACGGGTCTTCCCTTCACCGTCACAACCTGAACTATCATTTGATACACACACCCATCCCCTTTCAGGAAGCCTGCATTCTTTTCTTCTTCTTTTTTTTTAAAAGCACAGGATGTACATCCATCTGTTCATTTGTTGCCCTATTATGAATGGAAATAGAAGAAAGATTTCTTGGTGACGTTACACCAAGTCAACAGTATGCACAGCTGGCTTTGGCTGCACAACTGCAGATTTTTAAAAAGAAGAATATATTTTAGGAAGGCTGCATCTGATTTGACCTCATCGCTCTATGCATGTTGTATCTGCCTTCCCCTTCTTTAGACACTCATTCATTTTTAAAAGAAAGGACATTATGGAGGCACATATGGAAGACTCCCAGCAGGTCCCTCAGTGAACAACTGGACTTTTGACAAATGGACTTCTAGAGATATTTAAAAACTTTTATTTGATTCATTTGTACCCCGCCTTTCTCCCCAATGGGGACCCAAAGTGACTGACGCTGTTCTCCTCTTCTCTGCTTTATCCTCACAACAACCCTGCGAGGTAGATTAGGCTGAGAGTGTGACTAGCCCAAGGTCACCCAGCGAGTGGGGATTCAAACCCAGGCTTCCCAGATACCATGTTTGTAATGTAATTATCTGTTTTATGTAAGCCGCCCTGAGCCGGCTATGGCTGGAAGGGTGGGGTAAAAATTCAAATAAATAAATAGCCCGACACTCTTAACCACTACACCACACTGGCTCTCTTTTAGGGTAAAATCTACCAGACTTTTTAAAAATACATTTTTGGTGGGCAGAACTCAAACCCGCTGTATACCACACTGTACTTCAGTCCCTTGAAAACAAAATGGCACCATATATTCACTGAGAAAGAAAGGCCAAAGCTAACCACAAGGAATACAGGCAAACCACAAGGAATAAATAAATTTTAAGATGCCTGGCTCTTATTTCTGGCCACTGTGTGATACAGAGTGTTGGACTGGATGGGCCTTTGGCCTGATCCAACATTGGCGTCTCTTATGTTCTTATGTTATCACCCCAATGCAATAAAGTTCAAATCTAGGAATATTGCAATGGTATGTGGCCAATGTGGACAACAAAGTTAACAGGCAACCCCCTCCCCCAAGTATTCAGCTATATATACATATAATTCAATGGTATGTTTAATGTTAAGAGTACCGCAGTAGTGTCACAGTCAACATACGGGACGTAAAACAGAAATCAATTTAATTTACCAACAGCCATAATAATGTGTTTCAACAGCCATCTGAATATAGTACAGAGACTCCTGAAGCATATGCTACAGACGCAGCATTTGTTTTCAGCTGTCAGTGTGAAATGTTTGAAGACACAAACTAGAAAGTATTTTTAAAAAGAAGCAGTGATGACACAAGAGATTCTGAAGTCATACAAATAGGTTTTTCCCTAGAACCTTTCCCATGTTTCCATCCCTGCTGGATAGAAGAGGGAGAGGGCAATTTTGGCTCCAGCCCCCTCCCCACTGCAGCTTCCTGACCCACATGGCTATTAGTCCACACAGCTTCCGCAACCTTGGGAATACACTTTTGCAGAGTCAGAAAGGACTGCTGGAGGAACACAAGAAAAGATTTGTGATCCTCACACCCACAGATTGCAGGACCCAACCCCTTAACTCTATTACAAGAACTTATTATTGGCAACTGTTCAAGAATCACTTTGGAATGCTAGGAAGTCCAGACAAAAACAATTAGCGATGCCTGTCAAAACAAGCCTGAAGGTAACAAAACAATGATACCATCAAGTTTCATGACACAAAGAAGAGCACCACCTTGACCTCGGAGTCACCGTATATAGTCAGAAAGGAAGACTCTGCAAATAAGTAACAGGAACTGTAAGCAGACAGGAAAAATCATATGTGTGACGATGTATGCAGCTAGAAGACAAGTGGAATTAAAGGGTCTATGGAAATGCAAGTTAGAACTGGTACCCACTAGTGGCAAAAAACTGCAGAAATTAATAAAGCCAGCTTATGAGAACTGCTAGCTGCCAAAACGGATTGTCCCTCCACTCTACTTGATATACATCTTGGCACAGATGCCAACTCAGTTATTGATGGACAGAGGCTTTGATATGCCATTGGCCAGCCACATGTGGTTGCTAAGTTTAGTTAACACTGATGCAGTCTTTGGCCCACTTCGCATCTAGCATTCGCTCCATTGTTTTACCAAACCCACACTGGAACAGAAAAAGATGCAGTTCAAAACCACACTGAAATACCCCTGGCCAACACCATACTGACTGCAGAGTCACCTCTGAATGGTCATAAAACAGCCATAAATCTATGCAGATAGTACCATAAAACGAAGAGATCAAAGGAAGTGAAACCAGCATGCAGTGTGGAGGCTTCCATAAAATCCGACAATTAAATAAAGTGATAGTGGCGTGCAATGTAGATGGGAATTTCTGTTCCAACGTGGGTTTGGCAAAACAGTGGAGCAAATGCTAGATGCAGAATGGGCCTTTGACAGACACTACAGGGTGTCGATTAAGGGCAGATACCCAAATGAAGCATGTGCCTGGAAAACAGGAGGTGTCAAAAGAGTGGCAGAAAGCAGAACCATTCCATTAGTTGTGAACTAGCAACTTTTTTTTAGTTCTTATGCGTAACTAAGATTCCCAAGCAGTTGACTCACTGCCAAAGCTCCAGATGATGTTAGTCACTGCAGTTGGCGGGTTCTGCTGAGTCATCCTGTCCAGACAGATCTCATGGAAAAGCACAAAGAAGGAGACACTAAAATTGTCCTCCTGTCGTGTCAATTACAAAAAATCACCATTCCTTGTTCTACCTTCTTGCAATACGGATGTGATGATACGGATGTGATGATACAAGTACTTCCATAAGATGGACTGTAAAAAGACTGTAAAAGCTGGAACAACTAAAATGAGAAAATGTATCCCATTGCAGATGTGTTACAGGCACCATCTTACACAACTATATTACCTGCTCTTCTACCCTTCCATGTCGCAATGGGATGCAAAGCTACATTCCTAAAGTGTCAATCATTCAACATCAACAAATAAGAAACTTTGATGAGAAAATCTACTGAATAGCATCAGGGAAAGTGAACTTAGATAGAAACATGCACCTGGAGACCTTTGTGTGTAAGATCTGTGAGTCTGAGATACAGACAACAGAGACGTAAGGAGATTTTGTCTAAGAAACATGGATTCCAGGACATACTAATTCCTACAAGCAATGCTGTGTCATTCTCTCTTAAGAGATGCCACTACCCAAAAGTCAGATGTTGGGCCTCCATCACTGTCACACCACCCAACACAATGGATAGGAGGCGTGCGACGAAATGACCAATGCTAATCCTCATGTACGCCCTTCCTCTGCCATGTGCCACCATCAGTGGTATGAATGTCAAACTAGGTTCCGGAAGAACCAGTTTCAACTCCCCACTCTACCATGGAAGTTTGCCGGATGACTTTGAGCCAGTCACCCTCTGTCGGCCTAAACTGTGTCACAGGCTCATCGAGAGGTTAAAATGGAGGAAGGGAGAAGAGCGTCTGTCGCTCTGAGCTCCTTAGAGGAAGGGCGGCATAAAAACGTACTAAATAAACAGCAATTGTAGAATGTTTGGACACATCATCGTGCAGGTGAAGAGGCTTTCAAAATGGGTGCTCTAATGGAACACATGAAGCTGCCTTCTGCTGACGTAGACCCTTGGTCCATGAAGGTCAGTATTATCTATTATGACTGGCAAGCAGCTCTCAGGGTCTCAGAGAGCTTATTACATCAAGTATTACCTGATTCTTTTTACTGGAGATGCCAGAGATTGAGCCTGAGACCTTCTGTATGCAAAGCAGATGCTCTGCCACTGAACCATGGCCCCTCCCCATGATGGTGAATTAGAAGCAGAGCAGATTTCAATCATGTACTGAGCACTGGGTTTTTTCCTAAACAAATCATCAAAGCAGCGAACGTGCAGGAATCAGCAAATCTGTCAAGCTATTTTTACAGTCTGTGCTCTTTTGTTTGCGCATACAACATGCACTTGTTTGTGAGCATATTATTAAAAGCAACCATAAGCAAAAAATCATCAAGACAGCAGGCAGTAACCCCAAACTCTTTTCTCCTACAAATGGCCCGATTTCTGAAAGCAGGAAGATGACAAAAGTGAAATTTGCAGCAATACAGTATCCATCATGGCAGATGCATACCTCTGTGCTGTACACAGCTATGAAATGTATTATATTGGGGTTGATATATAGGAGATCTGTGCATATTTTAAAAAAATTCATTTCCAGCATTGTCGTTCTTTGGTCTTTCATTCTCAGGGAAAACATACCTCCATATTGGGGGAGGTAAAGTTTTCAGGACTCTTGGGCTGAAGCACTGAATGTATACAGTGGCTTTGGCTTCAGTACACTCCCGAACCCTATAAAGAAAACGTGCCTGCCCCCTTCTATCATGCACCAAAAAAAAAAACCTCTCTAGAAATTCTAACCAGCCCACAAACCCAACAAAGCTCAAAGTACAAATGAGGTTTCTCAACCCCAGGACACAAACATGCTTCCTAGTACTCACGTGGGCTGGCCAGACATACTGAAAAGTTCCTTGCTCAATACAGATCAGCCTACTATCATCCAAAATAGTCTCCATTGCTCAAGAGCACGTCTACTCAGATACTACCAAAAAAAATTGACCAACACCCGGGATTGCCCAGAAACCTAACTCCCTGCATAAAGTATTTTGTTGGCAGATGCCAGAGCCTCTATCGCCATTAGATGGAAAAATAACCTACTTACGACACTCACACTATGGTATGACAAAATCTGGCAATTCTATGTGATGGAAAAGATCACTTACAAGAATGCCCTATCGGACAACGCGAGGCAAAAAGCTCTGTTTCTGGCAATTTGGTACCCATCATTAGATTATATGATAACTAATGATAAAGTGCCAAGAAATGTTTATCCTATAGATCTGTTACAATTGTATACTTATTGTCTTATTGTTGATAATGGTAGCTCTATAAATGTCAAACCAGCAGCATCTGAGAAAGTAATGTATCACAAATGTACTGCTCTCGTTTATCTTTTCTTTGTTTAATAAAAATGTTTAATTATATAAAAAAAGTACTTTAAGTAGGTATTGGCCCAGGCTAGCTCAATATCATCAGATCTCGGAAGCTAAGAGGGGCTGGCCCTGGTTAGTATTCAGATGGGAGACCTCCATGGAATACCAGGGTCATGACCAATGTTCCCTCTAAGCTGTGGAGTCTTATGAGCAAAAACTCTACTTTGTGAGCTCCTGGCATGAAAGTTGTGAGCGAGCAATCTGGCTACTGCATAAGTTAGTTTGCTCTGGAGCCATCCTTCCTGAGCTAAGACAAAAATGTGTGAGCTGGAGGCTAAAAAACCGTGAGCTAGCTCACACTAACTAAGCTTAGAGGGAACATTGGTCAGGAAATGGAGGCAGGCAGTGGCCAACCACCTCTGAACGTCTCTTGCCTTGAAAGCCCTAATGGGGTCACCGTAAATTGGCTACGCCTTGACAGCACTCTTCACCTCCACTAGGTATTGGTGGTGGTGGGGATTATTGGACAAGTTGGGGAAGAGAAGACAGAAGACTAGGGAGGCCAGAGGGTCAGCGGGATCTTCCATGGTGGCTTGGGAATACAAGCCCACACCACTCCACTCCACTCCAAACCCTCCCTCCACAATCTGCTGGCCAGTGGTGGCTGGGAGGGGGCTGTCCTCCACTGCAGAGCACACTTCTTCAGGCTCCAGGCAGTTCCATGTGCACAAAACCAATGTTTTATAAGGAGCCCCAAGGTGCCTAGGACAAGAGGATGTGCTCTGCAGTGAAGGACAGCCTCCACAATGGCCCGGAAGAGAAGCGGCACACAGAGTGAAGGGCACAGTATCCAAGCCTTTCTGATTATGTTGAGATTTCCTAGCAGGGATTTCCTAGCTGCAGAACTCAAGCTTTTTGCCCGACTTTGTCTAGTTTCAAAGTTGCAAAAGGTAGATCGTCTCCAGTTTGGTGTAGTGATTAAGAGCCAGTTTGGTGTCATTTTTAAGAGCGGTGGACCGTAATCTGGAGAACTAAGCTTGATTCCTCAGTCCTCCACATGAAGCCAGCTGGGTGACCTTGGGTCAGTCACAGTTCTCTCAGAGCTGTTCTCTCAGAGCTGTTCTCTCAAGAGCAGTTCTCTCAAGAGCTCTCTCAGCCCCACCTACCTCACAGGGTGTCTGTTGTGGGGAGGGGAAAGGAAGGTGATTGGAAGCCACTCTGAGACTCCGAGTAAAGAGCGGGCTTTAAATCCAACTCTTCTTCTTCTTCTTCCATAGAACCATAATGAAACACATGAAACTGTTACTGAATCAGACCCTTGGTCCATCAATGTCAGTATTGTCTACTCAGATTGGCAGCGGCTCTCCAGGGTCTCCAGCAGAAGTCTTGCGCATCACCTACCGCCTCGTACTTTTAACTGGAGATGCCAGGGATTGAACCTGGGACCTTCTGCATGCCAAGCGGAGGCTCTACCACTGAGCCACAGCCTCTCCCCATGGTAGCCCCTGCCTCCCTTCCACCCAGCAGCCACAGGAGATTCTCTTCAAGACTGCTAGAGAAGGAACACTGAGGAAGAGAGGACAGGCCACACAGCACCGGGAGCACTCGCCTCCATATGGAGGGAAACAGAGGGCAGCAAGAGCAGAGGGCACCACAAAAGCAGCGTGGGCGGGAGGAGAATCGGTGTAGTTACCAATAGGGCGTTCCGATGAAGGATTTCCGCTTTGCCACAGAGGCCGTCAGTTCTGCAGAGACTCCGAAATCCGCTGTTGGAAGGAAAAGAGCGATTGGAGAGAGGACTAAGGCCCAGAAGACCCTCTCCTTGTGTTGGGATGGGAGGGAAACAGTTCAAACGGCATCAGAGGAAGAGGACTTTACATGGGGGACTGGAAAGGAAAAGGGTCTGGGCCAGGGCTGCCACTCTGGCTTGGGAAATTCCAGGAGACTGAAGCCTGGGGAAGGTGGGGTCTGAGTACTAGATGAACCTGGAGGTCCCTTCCAGCTCTATGATTCTATGAGGGGAGGGACCTCAGTGGGGTATATAATGTCACACAGTCCACCCTCCAAAGCAATCGTTCTCTCCAGGGTAAGCTGTCTTTGTGGTCTGGAGGTGTTGTAATTCTGGAAGATCTTCAGGCCAGACCTGAAGATTGGCAACCAGAAGCTGGGCCTAACCTCTCTCTGGATTCGCAGATTCTGAACTCCACAGCCTTTATTTGTTTGGTCCCCCAGTCATCCACAAGGCATTACCACCAATGAACATATATTGCCCCCTCATGCCTGCTGCCCCACCGCTCCAGCCAAAAGCCTCTCAGTTGCTAATGCCATTTTGCCAGGATGCACTACCCGTCCAACGTAAATCAAGATCTTGCAAAAGATGACAAATCCAAGCACATTTGGGGCCAACTATAGAAACAGCTTTTAAATTCAGGGCAAATGATAAATGGTCTCCCAAGACCGTTCATCAGAAGCTGTTTGAGCTTGCATTTAAAAAAATGAAATGAAATAAAATGGAGGGTGGGAGGGTATGAAGTAGTCATCACTTTGGACATAATATGGGGTCTGTGCTAAGCTGTTAGTCTTCCCAATCTGCCGTTTCCACCATTTTTAGGTCAAAGGCAGCAAAATAATTCAAGATACTTCCACTCAAGGGTCAAATATGAACAGGGTAGGGTAGGGAGGAAGTTAAAGGGAATGTGCGAAGTAACATCTTTGACAAGGTGGAGGAAGGAGAATTCTGGATTAACAGCAAGAATAAAAGCAGGTCAGATGTGAACCAAAAGGAGGGGAGACCAAGAGAAGGAACTGACCGAGTTTCACGTCACCGTCGGCTGTAAGCAGGATGTTGGCCCCCTGAAAGAGAAGCAGGAAGACTCTGCTGAAGGGAGTCCGGAGACACAAAAGGGGGAAGACCGAACAGCCATTTCCACAAAAGAGAGGGTCTTTTTCCTCTCCCATCCCCCCATCTTCCTTTACAGAAGCAGCCTCAAAGGAATCTCTTAAAGGGGACAGACCCCGGACTGGCTGAGCCCAAGATGCTGCCTGAAGGAAGGTCTCACCTTGATGTCCCGGTGCATCTTCCCTTTGGTGTGCAGGTGGTGGAGTCCCTGGTGGGGGGGTAACAGACGGAAATATTACACACTATCATTGTTATTAGCCAGTGTTCAAAGCGCTCTCTCCCCTCCTTATCTCATTCTTCCCCCCCCCCATGTCCCCTACATCCAAAGCCCGGACTCTGTCTGACACCCTCCAGCCTTTCAGTGCTTTTCCTTAGCTTAGCAAACCTAGAGAAACTGCGTTTTCACCAATTACTGCTCTGGTGAATGTCTTCCGGTTATATCTGAGGTTTACATAGCTATTATCTCGCCTCATATTTCCCTGAAGATTGTTTCAGGTGGGTAGCTGTGTTGGGTCTGCAGAAGAAGAGCTAGATTTCCAGGGTATAAACTTTTGAGAGTCAAAGCGCCCTTCGTCAAAGTGACTTGTATCTGATGAAGGGAGACTTGACTTTGGAAAGCTTGCACCCTGTAATTAATTGTGTGTAGAACAGCCAAGAGATCTGAAGATTGTCTGGCAGCCCTAGGTTCTAGCTCTTAGTGCTGTGCTAGTGGTCAGCTAGACTTGTATTTAGGGGCTGAGAGAGCTCTGGAAGATCTGTGACTGGCCCAAGGTCACCCAGCTGGCTTCATGCGGAGGAGTGGGGAATTGAACTCGGTTCTCCATATCAGAGTCCGCGGCTCTTAACCACTACACCAAACAGGCTCTCTGCACCCTGGAAATCTTGTTGGACTTTAAGGTGCCCCTGGACTCAAATCTGGTTCTTGTATTTCCTTTAAACCCTACCAGAGAGTTACAATTTTCTTCTGCACAACTTTGTACGAAGTGGGCCCTGAACATTTGCGTTTGGCATTGCAAGGGGGTGGCGGCTCCTAGTCTCCTACACTGCAGTGGCCCAGAGAAGAACCTCTCTTCCCTGACACACATTTTCAAAGCACTTCAGCAACTAGCAATATAGCTGCTTCTCCACAGCATGTTCAGGGCCACATCCAACCATCCTTGCCAGGCAGTACAGATGCAGTCGCAAGGCAGTGCTTCCCATCTTGCCTCCAATAACCCAGTCGTGACGCCCAAGGGCCTGTATGGCTTGTGGTGTCTGTGAATCGTTAGTGCTGAAAATGTGTAAAGAGGTTTTTAAAACGCAGTTGTTTTTTAAATACAAGGAGCTCCTACACTTTTATGATGAGGACCTCCTTAAGGTCTTGCCCCTCCTGGCACTCTGCTCCTCTCTGAATAACGAACGAGAGAACTCCCCCCCCCCCAAGAAACTGAAGCACTGGAAAGGTAATCGCAATCCTGAAAAGTCCACTGTGAGCCAGGAGGAATCCTGTATGGGCACAACTGGGCAAGTCACTTGTGGGAGTGGAGTCTAGTGAATTTTTGAAGGGCACCAGCCACTATCAAGGTTTCAAACCAGAACTGTCTCTATTTTACAAGCAAGTTTGCATTAATTAAACCAGTGATCGCCAACGTGGTGTCCATGAACCTCATGGCACCCACCAATGGGTTTCCTGGTACCCACTTGCTTCTTCCCCAAAGCTTCTCTTCCCCAAAACAATGAGGCAGTCCCAGCTTTCCTCCACCTTACTGGAACAGGAGATGCTTCAGAGGAACCCCAGGAGACATCGCCTTTGTCTCTGCAGGGAGCACCCATTCAGAAACCGCTGCCTCCACCACAGGAAGAAGCTTGGCTTGCAACTTCTCAACATCTTACGATTGCTCTTAGCGCCCCATGACAGCCATTATGTGATTGCTCTATGGCATCCGTTTTGTGGTGGTGCCCACCTCCCTAGTATTTTCAGAATTCCAGAAATGCCCACAGACTCAACAAGATGGGGGACTCTTGCTGTAAATAGAAGCAGTCACATCACTAATTAAAAGACTGCTTCTTCTCTGGAAAAAAAAATCTTGGGGGAGGCAATTTCGTGGCTCCAAAGAGGCCAGTGCACCCACTTGCCTTATCACAGCTACAGCCATTAGGCTGTTCCTTCATTCTATAGCATTCACACATGTTTTAAGAACAAGAGTGCACGGCATTGTTCTGCCTGCAGGAAGACAGGGGAGGAACTGGGAAAGACCCTGCTAGCTAGCAGCAGCTGAATAACATCTTGCAAAATTCATTCGCTTCTTTGCACTTAAGGCCCGGGCATGCTCAGGGGCATGAGGCAAAGGGCTCTCCTTCAGATGTTAGTTTGAGGACTGCAGCCTTAAGCTGCCCAGAAGATTGGCCATCAGAGAGAGAAGACTCGGTTGTTCAGAAACTGTGCCTTCCTATTTGTTTCTGTTGTGACTTTCCTTGTACTATTAGCTGCTTTGGGTCCCCATTTGGGAGAAATACAGGACACAAAACAAACATCTGTATTTTCATCCATTTGTCATATATTCATATTATACTTGATTTCAAAGGCTTGTGACCTCAACATTTTTATGTGGCTGAAGTTGCATCAAGTAGGCCAGATTTCACAGTCTGCCAAGAAGAGATTACAGTCGTTGGAATTGCAAATTCTGACATCCTATTTATAGATGGTGATGAAACTAGTAGTTAAGAACCTGGGTCATTTCCTGGAAAACCAGTGAATTTAAAAGTAGCACCAGTAGGAAAGAAAGATGCATCTCTCAACCAATGCTCCCGCTAAGCTGTGGAGTCTTGTGAGCAAAAAAATCTACTTTGTGAGCTACTGGCATTAAAGTTGTGAGTGAGCGATTTGGCTCCTGCATAAATTAGTTTGCTGTGGAGCCATCCTTCCTGAGCTAAGACAAAAATGTGTGAGCTGGAGGCTAAAAAACTGTGAGCTAGCTCATGCTAACTCGGTTTAGAGGGAACACTGCTCTCAACTGTGTTTGAATTCTGACCAAACTGGTTTGGTCAACATGAGACATTTCATGCTTACTATTGGCAATCTGGAGTATTTCAGATTATTTTTCTCCAAACCAAGCGACTGGTTTCATACAAGTTCACATATCTCATTTTAATGTGTAACCTGAAAACCGACTCATGTACTGCAAAACCAGGAGATAATCCAACGCACCCTTCTCAGTGTTTCTGGCTTCTGATTAACCCAGATTTGTGAAATTCTGAGTCTCTGTCTGCATGCTTCTCTAGTTTGAGTCCAGTGGCACCTTTAAGACCAACCGAGTTTTATTCAAGGTATATGCTTTTGTGTGCATGCACATTTCTTAAGATACAGTGAAAACATACTGAGGAAGTGTGCATGCACATGAAAGCTTATACCTTGAATAAAGGTGCCACTGGACTCAAACTCTGTCTGCTACTTCAGACCAACACGACTACCCCACCTGAATCTATCTGCGTGCTTCTCTGTGATTGATTGTCCATCAGTAGACCTTTAGACCGTAACAAAATGGCTTTTCCTCCACATACCCTATTCTCTCAAGGTTCACACTCAGTAAAGCCATGGGGAGAAATCCCAGAGCTCTGCTTTTCTTGCCTTGCTATAGGTAATCTGCCATATTCCCAAGAGAAGATGAATGAACTGTAGGAAGAAAACAGCAGCCCTGTTCCTGTACTATACACATGTACAAGGAGTGCAGGCATTAGGTCACGCTAGCTTTTGGAATCTACCTTTCTGCTTCTTCCTCACTTAGGCCACCCCTCTTGGGACCAGTTAATATGACCAGAGGCCTGGGAGATGCTTCCCTGTGGCTGGGTGCCACAACACTTTGGAAATGTCTGTAAAGAGAAGCTAAATGGGGTTGGTAATGTACAGAAACAGGCCTTAAGAGATGTGGCTCAGAGTACCTGAGCATCGGTTTCGCATGCAGATCCCTGGTTCAATCCCTGGCATCCCCAGTTAAAAGGATTGTCGGCAGCAGGTGCTGTTAAAGCCCTGCCTCTGCCTGATCCCGTGGACAGCAGCTGCCAATCACAGTAAGCCATACTGACTGAGTCAGAACAATGGCTGTAGCTCAGTGGTAGAGTATCTGCTGGGCATGCAGAAGGCCCCAGGTTCAATCCCCAGCATCTTCATTTAAAAGGATCTGGCAGTGGGTGATGTGAAAGACCTCTCTCTGCCTGAGACCCTGGAGGGCTGCTGCCAGGTTGAACAGACAATACTGACCATAATGGATCAATAGTCTTGTCCAGTAAAAGGCAGTTCTGTGCAATCTGACTCTACATAAGACATAGTTCTACAGTTCTCAGTGTGAATGGCATATACCTAAAGCATGATATCAAATGCCTGTGACAGGCCCCGGTCACACGGAGCATTAGGCACGCTAGAGAGACGGAAGATAGGCGGATTTTCCGGGCGCGATCTCACCACCACATCTGGGAAGCGTAGAGCTCCCATGGCTCACCTGAGGCTTCACTCCGAAGATGCGCTGTAAAAAACTAGTACCTCTGAGGTACTAGTTTCCGGAAACCGCGGGGCAAGGGCGGGCGTCAGATCACGTTACCGGTGTTAGCTCGTGGCATCCGGCGCCCGCCCATGTCCCGTCGCAAACACTTGGGTTAAAAAAAACAACACAACCCCCGCGGCGCCGCTTCTTTGCCGCGCCGCAGGAGTGAGGTATGATCGGCACCTCCCCCCAACCACGGGACGTCGGCGGGACGTCGGGCGGGATGTTTGATCTGGCTGCCCCGCGGTAGTTCGCTCCGGGGCAAACAGCCACACCTCCCCCCCCCCCCCCCCCCCGCAATATCCGGCCCGTATGACCGGGCCACAAAAAAGTATAAATGGACCTGGGAAAACACCATCTTCAGAATGAAGAAGCCAGGGATTGAACTAGGGACCTTCTCTGGGCAAACCATCTGCTCTGCTACTCAAAGGGAGTTTGTCCCTATGTAGCGCCTTCCTAAGCACATGTACGAAGAGCTACGTGGCTGATGACACACCTCGTTCCCACTATTGTAGTACTTTCTGCTGCAGGAAGACAGGAAAATAACAGAGTGAACAACGGAAAAGTGAACTTCCTGGAAAGCCCGGACCCAAGTGCAGAAAAAGTAAGAATAAGGGCTTTGTTTCCAAACAGAGGTGCTGGCTCTGACTTCGAAATGTTTCGTCCTAATGCTAGGTTTCCAGTAGCTGGTTGTGGTTAAGAGGGGAGGGAAGATACTTGCTCCAAGGGACCTTCTTCATGATGAGTACTTTTCATATCCCAGAGCTGAGCCTTAGTGCCGGAACAGGTTTGGGGGCAGAGCCCTAGTACAGATTAAATTCAGGAGGACTCTCAAATCCAATCCTGTTTTTTTCCAGTGATTTCTGAACGCAAAGAGGAGTGTGGCTTGAATGCATCTGAAGCTGCTTTATACCAAGTCAGACCCTTGTTCTCTCAAGGTCAGTCTTGTCTAATCTGACTGGAAACACCTTTTTCCAGGGTCTCAGGCAAAGGCCTTCCACATCACCTACCCAGATCCACATCACATCCACATCACCACCTGATCCTTTGAACTGGAGGTGCTGTGGACTGAGCTTGCACGCAAAACAGATGCTCTACCACTGAGCCACAGCCTTAGGTAAAGGTAAAGGTTTCCCTTGCTCGAAAGCCAGTCGAATCCGACTCTAGGGTTGCGGTGCTCATCTCCATTTCAAAGCCGAAGAGCCAGCGCTGTCCGAAGACGTTTCCGTGGTCATGTGGCCGGCATGACTCAACACCAAGGCGCACGGAACGATGTTACCTTCCCACCAAAGCGGTAGCTATTTATCTACTTGCAATTTTTTGCTTTCGAACTGCTAGGTTGGCAGGAGCTGGAACTAGAGACGGGAGCTCACCCCGTCTTGCGGCACCCGGGTCTCGAACTGCTGAACTACTGACCTTCCACAGCCTGCAGTTCAGCGTCTTAACTACTTGAGCCACCGCAGCCTTAAGGACTAATTATTCTCAGGTTAAAAACCTCAGGCTGTAACTGGAAATGCTGAGGACCAAACCTAGGACCTTCTGCATGCAAAGCAGATGAGAGCCACTGTGGTGCAGTGGTTGAGAATGGTGGACTCTAATCTGGAGAACTGGGTTTGGTTCCCCATGCCTCCTCCGCATGAAGCCTGCTGCGTGACCTTGGGCCAGTCATGGTTCTCTCAGAACTCTCACAGCCTCACCTACCTCACAAAGTGCCTGTCCAGGGGAGAGGAAGGGAAGGTGATTGTAAGCCACTTTGAGAAAAGCGGGATATAAAAACCTAGTCCTCCAGTCCTCCTCTTCCCCTCCAGATGCTCTACTACCAAGCCACAGCCTCTCTCCTTAATGACCAATCGATCCCAGGTTAAAAACTGAGGTTCCAACCGGTGTTCCCTCTAAGTGTGAGCTAGCTCACAGTTTGTTAGCCTCTGGCTCACACATTTTTGTCTTAGCTCAGGAAGGATGGCTCCAGGGCAAACTAATTTATGCAGTAGCCAAGCTTCAAGAGGGAATTAGAGAAAGCATAAGGAGCAGAGGTCCACCAGTGGCTGTTAGCCACAAGATATAGATAGGAACTCACAGGCTGGGGCAGGTGATGCTCTGTATTCTTTGTGCTTCGGGGGGGCAACAGTGGGAGGGCTTCTAGTGTCCTGGCCCCACTGTTGGACCTCCTGATGGCACCCAGTCTTTTTGGCCCCTGTGTGACACAGAGTGTTGGACTGGATGGGCCATTGGCCTGATCCAACATTGGCTTCTCTTATGTTCTTATGTTCTCACTCACAACTTTCATGCCAGTAGCTCACAAAGTACAATTTTTGCTCGCAAGACTCCACAGCTTAGAGGGAGCATTGGTTCCAACTGGAGATCAAACCTTGGGCCTTTCTGTGTGCTAAGCAGACGTGCTGTCACTGAGCCACAGCCCCATCCATGTCACAGAGGGTCGGTGGCCTTAAACACAGATTGTAAGCATTACGGTACCTTACATCCCTCCTTCAGCTTCTGTCAGTGCCTGGAAAAGCTAGCAGCCACTGGCGCCAATCTGACCCCAGACCGCACAAAGACAGAGCCCCCCCTCCTGCCCAACCATACCCACACGCTCACCTGGAGAGTCTCCCTGCAGACGTACGCAATCTGTTTTTCTGAGAGGGGGCCAGTCGCTGAAGGGAAGAACCAGAAGTCCAGTTATTAAGGGTTTTTGAAAATGTCCTGCTTCTCCATAAAGAAAGCCTGAGGCAGCTGACATCACCACTCATTAAAATATATAAATATGTATACAGGGCAGCAACCCCCCCCCCCCCCCAGCCCGAAAGACACTAACAGAAATCGCTTTTCTGTTCTGCTAATGAAGCTTGGTGGATGAGTTTTGCTCATGGCAATGATCGGGGATAGAAAAGATCCCCCACACACACCCCGGAACTTGATTCCTAGTAGCATGTGACTTTCTTACATGAGTTGGTGGTGAGAAGTGCGGTCAAAAGCACAGCCCCTTACGGTGACCCCATCAGGTGGTTTTCGGGGCAATGTTCAGGGGTGGCTTGCCATTGTCTCCCTCTGCATTGCAGCCCTGGGCTTCTCTGGGGGTCTCCCATCCAAGTTCTAACCAGGGCTGACCCTGCTTAGCTTCCGAGATCTGACAAAATTGGGCTACCCTGGGTCATCCAGGTCAGGGCAGGCACGAGCTTGGGAATGGGGGCACGAACTGGGAAAATGTGGTTCAGTTTGTGGTCAAACCACAAACCAAACCAGGAGGTCTGTCCGCAGAAAGCTTGACAAACAGCTGAGCGACAGGGAGCAGCTTGCTCCCTGCTGCTCAACTGTTTCGGGCTCTCTAGTGCAGTCCCTTTAAACTTTATGGGACTACAGAAGACAGCCCAAAAAACAGGTGAGCGGGCAGGGAGCAGTCTCCCCAGCTGTTTTGGGCTTCCTTGTGCAGTCCCTTTAGGCAGACACATTTAAAGGGGCTGCACAAGGGAGCGTAATACAGCTGAGCCCACAGAGAGACGTCTCCCCGCTAGCCCAGCTTCCAGCACTCTTGTGCAGCCCCGTTTAAAGGGGTTGCACAGGGGGGCCCAATATGGCTGAGCCTGTGGGAAGAAGTCTCACTGCTGACCAGCTTTGGGCTCTCCTGTTTAAAGTTTTAAAGGGACTGCACAAGACAGCCTGAAACAGCTGAGCGTCAGGGAACACCTCCCCGCCGGTCTGCTGTTTTTGTGGCTTTTGTGGGGAACAGAAAGCAGAGGTTTAAAGGGACTTGAAGTCCCTTTAAACCCCTGCTTTCTAGTCCATCCACAAACAACCACAAACGGCTTTAAAAGTTTGTTGACGTTCATGTCGGTAGACCCGTCACAAACTTCATGAACCACAAATTGTGACAAATTTTGTTTCGTCGTTCCATTCATGTCATCCCTATGTGCGTTATTTATTTAAAACTACTGCTGTATAAGGGTGAAGGTAGATGCATGTATCTTGACTAGTCAGCCTACTGTGGAACTCACATCCTTTTTAGACAGAGGCACAAGCTCCCTAGGAGCAACTGGTTCTTCCTGTTTTAAGGCACAACCAGCAGGGCAGGATGCCGATCCCCGGGGCCCTTGTGACAATCATCCGGTTGTGCAGAGAGGTGAATGATTGGCCCTGGTGGCAATCCCAAAGCCACCACCTCCTCATCAGGCTGTGTGGAGTGCTGACTGGCTAGCTTCTGTGGCAATCATAAAGCCATTTCCCTCCCCCCATTGAGTGGCTTAAAAATAAAAAGGCACATCAAACGTTTAAGAGGGTAGACATGCCAGGCTTGCGCAAATGAGGAGGAATGAGAGGGGATGAGATGAAAGTCCACAAAGAAGTAAAATCCCAGGATGTGTCTAGGACTAAGCTCTGGAAAATCTGAGCATGACTTGCAATGGAAAAACTCAGTCCCAAACAGAGGAAAGTCTTTCACCTTAAGTGCCTTCTTGCAGTCCTGTGAACTGCAAATTCTGATTTCTGGGAAAGGTGACAGGTTGAACCAAGGGACTTCCCTGGGGGCAGGGAGTGGACTTAACTGGCTTCTGTTCTGGTTGATCCTACTCCTATCTTCTAGGCTAGGAAAGAACCACCTGCTGGAATCCCCCCCCCCCCAGTTATGGAGTCATTAACTGAAAGTCAGGCAAACCACATTTCCTCTTCCAACCACCCCACCCACAATCACACAATCTGAGGGGTGGCAAAAGGGGAAGTAAAACCCTCCAGAAAGTGAAGCAGACGTATTATTGCAACAGGCCAGACAGTAGAAAGGTTTCCTATGTATTAAGGAAAGGAGCCTCTATGCATAGAACAACTGGCTTTTCTATCACTGGGATCATAAGCCTATCGGCGTAACCACAGAATAACTATCATCCCGATAGAATAACTATCATCCCGAGACTTTCCCTGCACACATGGTTTGTTATATTCTATCCTGGCATCCAAAGTAATCTTGCTTTTTTTGCAAACTCTCACTCGATTTTGGAATTTTGCATTACAAGAGAAGGAGGAAAGTGGAACATAGGAGGTGCTTTAAGAGGTTGGACACAAATTGTTGTACAAGGATGGGAAGCTGTGTGAAAATTTTTGTAGCCTGCCCATATCATACCACAGTGAAGCCTCATCACCTCTACATGCTTATTCCTTCTGCTGTACTCTTCAAACTGCTCTCTACAACAATGGAGGGAAAGTCTCTGGTCTCTTTCAAAGAACAGAAGGGGAAGGAATAGCTTCAAGTACTATCTGAATATGGGGGTGGGGGGGAGTGTTCCCTCTAAGCTGAGTTAGTGTGAGCTAGCTCACAGTTTTTTAGCCTCCGGCTCACAGATTTTTCTCTTAGCTCAGGAAGGAATGGCTCCAGAGCAAACTAATTTACGCAGTAGCTGAATCGCTCGCTCACAACTTTAATGCCAGTAGCTCACAAAGTAGAATTTTTGCTCACAAGACTCCATAGCTTAGAGGGAACATTGGTGGGGGGAATGAGATAAGGAAAAGTAGGATTTGTACATTGGAGACTCCACTAGGAAGTGAATCATTACATAGCAGTCTCCAGCAACCAGTGGAACAAGTTGTGGTTATTCACAACCCTCATTAGCAAAGCCATCTCCAGCTCCAAAAGACAATGCAGTCAGTTCTCCACTGCAACACCTTCTCGAGCAGGAAACAGAACCCAGTAATCTAACCACACACACACACTGACACACACACCCTGCACCCCAATTGTAATCCATCAGGCCCTGTGCCAGTAAAGGCGCTTGACAGAATCCTGCAGAAACACTCAAAGCCAAAACTCACAGTGATAGATCTCCTGCAAAGACCCCCCTCCGCAGTACTCCATGCAGATCCAGAGACGGTCATTTCTAGAACAGAGAAGCGGAAATAAATCCACATCTTACAATGGCTTTTCCCCTTGATTTAAAAAAAAATCAGCCTTCCCTTTTCCTCTCAGAGATGGTTTTGGGATATCAATGGGGGGGGGCTTATCCTCTGTGCTCTCTTTGGGGGAGGATTGCCAGTTGAACGTTGCTTTTAGGAAGTCCATCAACCCCACTGTTAAGAACAAGAGAGCAGCAAAGACCACTCAAGACCACTGAACGCAGGTCCCTTAGACCCTTCATGCACTCAGTATCATATTTAACTACTACTGAACTCATGAGAAGGATAGCAAATGGGTGAGTTGCTTCCCTCCTCCTTCCAAGGAAGGGAATCTTGCTTGGGGTTAGGGTGACTGAGAACCCATAGCTGAATCATCACCCACATGTGGGAGGTTGGGTGAAGTGGGGTGGAGTCCACTTTCAAGGCCTAGGAAACGTTTCCACTTGGGGGATTTAGTTTTTATGGGTACTGTCTCAAGACACAACAACAACCCCCAAACCTAGACGATGTGAAAGAAAAGACCATGCATTGATCACAGTGCCTTCCTACTGGACAAACTCACACAGCTGACAAACTCACACAGCTGTAATCTTGTGACAATCTGAAATTGTCACAAGATTAAAGGCGTTCAGGTCAAACGATGCAGCAGTGAAACAGTTTTGAGGTCCTGCACCTTTTGACCACAATTTGAAATGTCTTAGCTCCTCCTTCTCCAGGTAAGCCTCTCACCTGAGATAGCTGCCAAAATAGGCCACAACGTTGGGGTGGCGACAGTCCCTGAGTGTGGTGATTTCTTGCTGAATGGATCCAATGTCATCCCCTGCGGAGACAAAAGAAAAAAAACGGTTTCTGGTACAAGTACGGCTCTCCTTCACAATTATGCCTCACCTAACACCTCCAGTTTCCAAAGCGTTTTGGCAACCTGTATTGTGCTCACCCTCTCACAACTGCCATGTAAGGCTGGCACACCCATCTTTCTTCAGGGTGACAAAACCAGAAGATTTATTTTAAAGTCACATTTGATTTAAACTAAAGCATATTTTGAAAATTTCATTCTGAGTGTCTCTTTTCTGAGTCAAGTAGTAAGTAAATCAGAATCCATGTCCCCCTCTAGTAAACACCCTGATTTAAACCCTTTTCAAGATTAAACTACTGTTTTGTTTTGTTTTTAACAAATTTTATTAGGATATTACACATTTCACATATATCACATTCATTTTATATCCTTTTCTCTCTTTCTCCCCACCCTTTTATTGGCTTCCCACAGCTTTCCAACCACCAGTTCATTTCTTATATTTTCACATACTTATAACCCGTTATTACACAACTATAGGTAACTTATATTCCAATTCTGTCCTTGTTCGTCTTTATTCTATTCTATTTCTATTTATCTCAATAAGTATCAAAGCAAATCAAATTGTCCTTCACATCCCAATATTTCTCTAAGTAGTCTTTAAAATCTGCAAAGAATTCTTCTGCTTCCAGATTTTTAAGTTTTCTTGTTAATTTGTCCATTTCTGCCATAAAAAGTAACTTCTTTATCCATTCTCCAACCTCTGGGATTCTATCTTGTTTCCAATTTTGGGCATATAACATTCTTGCTGTTGTTATCATATACCACATTAATGTCCGTTTTGCCAAATTGACTTCTGTTTTTAATGACTCACCCATGTGAACCATCTGGGGACTCAATTTTTGGGGTGGGGGAGATGATGGGATAAATACTGTAACAAAATAGTTAAACTACAAGGTTGTATCTGACAGATATAAACATGGTACCACAGGTCATGTACTACTGCTATTACTGTGGCAAACTGTGATCAAGTTTACAGGCTGAATCCAGCAGATGTAGATAGAAGAGGGGAACAATGCTCACCAATGCCCCCTCCTTACTGTTCCTGGGTTCTCTGTCCCCAGAAGCAGCATTTCGGGGGCATTTTTTGGCTACAGGTGGTGAGGAAATTGTGCTCCATGGACCAGGGTTGCCAGGGCCTCCCTCGCATCTGGTGGGTCCTTCCCGGGATCTTCTGCCGCATGCACGAAGCGTGCGTGGTGCAATGACATCACCCAGAAGTGGTGTAATCAGGTTGCCGACATCGGGAGGGTGACACTCTCGTTTTTGGGCACTTCTGGGTGACATCACTGTGGTGGGCAACGTCCCTGTTTGAGGGTGGGGCTTCCCCCAACAGCCAGCTGGCTGCTGGCGGATCAAAGCCCTGAAAAGCCGGGGAATCCCCACTGGGACCTGGGGGTTGGGAACCCTACCACGGACTGGAACCCCTTCCATGTAGAGAGATTTCTGGTGGATCCAAACCTATTATCAACTAAGCTGAAGGGACAGCCACATCTCCCCCCAGTAGCCAGAGGGAACCTGGCGACCCCAAGGGACATTCATTTTCCAGCTCTTAAGGAAGCAATGTCAAGAGACTAGCTCGCCTAGCAGTCTCTTGTCAAGTCAAAAACATTGGTTCAGGCTGCGGCCTAACAGAAATCAATGAAGCCTCTCTCTCTGAGAACTCAAGGACAACCTGACTATAGCCTCAAAGAGTGAAATAAGAGAGATGGAAGGTGACACAACTGCTGGGCAGACCATTAGGCCTAGCAGTTTCAAGGCCAAGAAATCTGGGAGGAAGTTTGGCCTACGCGTTTCACCTTGTTAGTGCAAGGACCCATGGGTGGGAGGAGGTGTTGCTTGATTGGGCCCTATACAGCTGCAGAGTATATGGTCTCATTAAGCCAGTTCACCTGATTGGTTGGGTCACTTGGGTAACAACATACCTGGTTGGTTAAGTTACATCACTGGCCATACATCTGGTTGGTCAACTAGAATCATGTCAGTACGGGTCGCTGGGCTCAAAGGAAAGATCTTTCATTCTAGTTTTGCCCTTTGTCTGGATAACATCTAACTTTTGGGCACTTCTTGATTCTGAGTGGGCCAGATTGGTTGGAGCACCTGCTTTAGAACTACAAAACTCTTTCGGACTCAGTCTTGTCAGGTACCATCTGAATCTAGAACCAATGCTTGGTAAATGGGCTCAGCTTAGATATTTAGAGTCATTATTTTATCCTCACTGCTTTTATATTGTATATTCCTGCACATTCTTTTAATAAATCACTTTATCTTGTGGTATTCTTGGATTTGGGGGCTTCAGTCTGAATCCAGTACTTTAACCCAGATTGACTATAGCTACCAGAACAAAGCTTGAGTCCAGTGGTACCTTTAAGATCAATAAAGTTTTATTCTGGGTCTAAGCTTTCATGTACAGGTACACTTCTTCAAATACATTAAAACAGAAGTCACCAACCACTGCATATAGTTAGTGGGGTGAGAAGGATGTTACCTGTGAACAGCAGCAGATTAGCATACATCATAATAAAAGTGTTTATAAACAGATGAGAGAACTCAATGACATTAGCCTGTGTAGTTATATAAGAAACCAATATCTCTGTTAAGCCCTGGGGGTTCCATTGTCCTGAGTGTTGTAATAACTTGTAACTCAGCCAGTTCTAGTCTGTTTCTGAAATTCTTTTGCAATAGAACAGTTACTTTGAGGTCCCCCATTGAGGTATGCACACAAAAGCTTATACCCAGAATAACACTTTGCTGGTCTTAAAGGTGCCACCGGACTCAAACTTTGTTCTGCTGCTTCAGATCAACACAGCTACCCATCTGAATCTACAGCTACCAGAGTAACTGTTTTCCAGAATGCACCTTGTAAGTGTCCTACCTTGCAAGGCTCTGGCTTCTTGATCTTAGACATGGGAGAGGCTAGAGGCTTAGTCTCTGGCTGATGGGGTAGTTAAAGGGTCTGGTGGTAGCATTTCCCTGGAGCTGTGAGGAGTCACACCTCAATGCTTTGTGTTTTTGCCTTGTATCAACCAGTTACCCTTAAGAAAGTTTTTATATGTCTTTTAACAATCCATTCAACCATGTAATCATCTGCACTTGCTTCAAGAAAATTCTGGGTACTTAGCCTGATATCCAAAGAAATGCATAGGCTTACCTATAGTTTAGCAGACCAATACATTTTTTTCACTTTTCTTTGGACAGCCACCTTCCCTTCCCATCCCTCGTGGAATTACTGGCTTTCAGTCCAAACTATATCTGTGCAGGAACTCTTCCAGACGCTTCTCCTAACATTCCGAGTTTTCACTTAAGAGCAGCAGCAGCACAACCAGCTCTCAGGAGGGAGCAAAGGAATGCTTAACCCCACCCCACCTCCATTTTACTAATCTAAATTGCCCTTCCAAAATTCCTGTTTTTCCCCACAAGAGAAAACATTCAGGGTTGAACATACGCACACACACACACAAAGCACAGCGCCTGTTCCAATCCTATGCCTCGCCGTCTACCTATTACATGTTTATCCTGCCTCCCGTCCAAGGAACTCAGGGCGACATGCATGAACTTTACACACACACCTTTGTTTTATCCTCACTGCAATCCCATGAGGTAGGTTAGGCCGAGAGATGCTAGTGGCTGATGGACACCCAGACAGCCTCATGGCTGAGCTTGGGTTTGAACTGGAATCTGCCCAGGGCTAGGCACTGTAAACAGCACACCACACCGGCTCTCTCCTTCAGAAGTGGCTTTTGACAATCAACTCCATGGGTGACTCAAAGTAAGGGACTTGCTGAATGCCCTTGCATGTGGACATAAAGAAGAAGACGAGGAGAAGAAGAGATTGGATTTATACCCCGCCCTTCACTACCCAAAGGAGTCTCAGAGTGGCTTACAAACTCCTTTCTCTTCCCTTCCCCACAGCAGACACCCTGAGAGGTAGGTGGGGCTGAGAGAGCTCTGACAGAAACTGCTCTTTTCAAGGACAGCTCTTATCAGAACTATGGCTTGCCCAAGGTCATCCAGCCAGGTGCAAGTGGAGGAGTGGGGAATCAAACCCGGTTCTCCCAGACTAGAGGCCACACACTTAACCACTGCACCAAACTGGCTCTTAACCACTACACCAAAAGACAAAGAGAAACTGATTTCACAACTGAACCCTTTTCCCCTCCAAGCTGATAGAATTCTGAAGCAGAGAAAAGGAGGAGGAGAGAGCCAAGTACACTCCTCTAAGCTTACCCCTCAGAAGGAAGGCAGGATAAATATGGAAAGCTATATTCTTCTTTAACACCTTTGACCCAATCCAGAATTTCATCTTCATATGCAATCCAAATGGGGGGGGGGGATCTGAATTGTCATCAGTATAGGAACTGTGGCCCTGACCTGGATAGCCCAGGCAAGCCCCGTCTCATCAGATCCTCGGAAGCTAAGCAGGGCCGACCCTGGCAAGTATTTGGATGGGAGACCTCCAAAGAATACCTGGGTCAACTTGGGAGGCAGAGGCAGGCTATCAAGCCACCTCTCGCCCTGACCTGGATAGCCCAGGCAAGCCTGATCTCGTCAGATCTCAGAAGCTAAGCAGGGTCGACTCTGGTTAGTACTCAGATGGGAGACCTCCGTGGAATACCACATTGGGAAGACAGGGGCAGGCTTTATTCAGCCACCTCTCTGAATATTCTCTAGGCCCCCAGTAGGGGTCGGTCGCCATGACTTTCATGCACATACACACACACACGAAAAAAAATACCAAAAGGGAAAAAAGCCACTTCTCTGAATGTCCTCCACCATGCCCCAGTGGTAGTTGCCAGAGGTCACCATGATTCCAGGTACAGGGGCATGCACACACACACACAAATTGCAAAAAATACCAAAAAAGGGGGGGGGGGAACTGTGGATGAGAGGCCAGTTCTCTCCTTTACCTGGATCGAGTTTCACTATCTTGATAGCTGCTAGTTCCCCAGTCTCAGTGTCACGGGCCTGTGGAGACAAACAATAAAGGTAATGTAAAGGGAAGGGGTAATTAGACAAGCCCCCCCATTTATTTAAGAAGATATGGAGTGTTTAACTCCCCCCCCATCTAGCTCTAACCCTCTATCAGTCTCACTCTGTCATTGTTCAATTACCCTTCCCTCTACACCAATTCCATATAAGGTCTCTCATACTAGAGAGATGGCCCCGATTCCCCCCCCCCCCCCCGTAAGCCATCGTGTCTGTTTTCACCTGACTGGTTCCCTTTGCCTTCCTCAGGGTCCAGCTTCTTCCCTCAGCATCCGTAGCGGCTACATTTCTAAGTGATGGATTCATCTTGTATCTAGCGCACACGCATATCAACGCATGCACACATAGGCTATGATGGACATTTTACACACTGCACGTGCAGAGGTATATTAGCCTGAACTCTCCCTAGAAGCTAGAATGACTAAACTATCCTACTTTGGTCACATTATGAGAAGACAGGAGTCACGGGAAAAGACAATCATGCTAGGAAAAGTGGAAGGCAGCAGGAAAAGAGGAAGACCCAAGATGGGATGGATGGACTCAATCAAGTTAGCCACAGCCCTCAGTCTGCAAGCCCTGGGCAAGGCTATTAAGTGGGTTGCCAACCTCCAGGTTTGGGCTGGAGATCTCCCGCTATTGCAACGGAGCTCCAGGCAACACAGATCAGTTCACCTGGAGAAAATGGCCACTATGCAAGGTGGTCTCTATGGCCACAGAAGTCCCTCCCCTCTTCAAACCCTGCCCCCTCAGGCTCCACCCCCCCAAATCTCTAACCCAGAGCTGGCAACCCCAACTGTTTGTTAATGAGAGGATGTTTTGGAGGTCATTAATTCATAGGGCTGCCATAAGTTGGAAGCAACTTGACAGCACTTCATACACACACACTATCAGTCCATTATGTTTTCCAACCTAATATACAAGCAAGCCCACAAATGCAGTCATAGCTATTAAATCAACGGAGAACAGGATGTTATGGAATAAATTAATGGAGCACAGAGATTTCAGAGTCCCTTATTTCCATCTGTTGGAAGGTATGGAATGGAGGCCACTCCTTGGCGTCTGCTCCAGTTTCTGACCCACCTGCCCACGGAGGGAGGGCCGGTGCAAACCACGTGTGCCTCTCGCCCACACGCACATCCAGATGACACCACGGAGCCCTCCTGAGCCCGCCTCGTTCCCCACACAAAATCCAGAGGAAATTCCCCACCCCATTTCCCAAGGAACCATCCTCCTTGCTGCGATCACAAGGCCAAACTGTAAGCAGGAGAGGAACGTGTGAGATTTTCATAGACAAGTGTTAATTTTTGCCTTGGAAGAAAAGGTGGGAGAAACAAAACCATCAATAAACACAAACCTTTGCCCAGACCTCTCATCCATGCATTTTCATGCCAGAGAGGTTAACTTATTTGTTCCAAAATAACTTTCCTACCCAGTTCCCCCACCAAGTAGGAATAAAAGAGGATGTGAAGCCTTAAGGTAGGCCCAACCCCTGAACTTGTTTTGAGTTTCATCAGTGAGCTCTGGAATGTGTACGACAACAAAGGATGCCCCAGAGCACCTACAGAGTGTACACGCCTCACCACTGACTAACCCCAGCCATCCTTTACACAGCTGAGATTTAAAATTTAAGCCTTTCGGGTAACAGAATATAACTTCTGAAGCTTTCCTCCTGGCTATTGGAGGTCTACTACTGTCATTTTTATATAATTTGGATACTTAAGGGAGGTTTCAGAGAGAACTTAGTTAGGCATAACGTCCAAATCGCAAGATGTGATAATCCCACTGTACACTGCATTGGTCAGGCCGCACCTGGAGTCTTGTGTGCAGTTCTGGAGGCCTCACTTCAAAAGGGATGTGGACAGACTGGAGCGGGTGCAGAAGAGAGCGATGAGGATGATCAGGGGCCTGGAGACCAAGCCCTGTGAGAAAAGGCTGAGGAACTTGGGAATGTTCAGTTTGGAGAAGAGGAGACTGAGGGGGGACATGATTGCTCATATATTTGAAGGGCTGTCACTTAGAGGAGGGCAGGGAGCTGTTCCTGTTGGCAGCGGAGGAGAGGACTCGGAATAATGGGTTTAAATTAAGGGCGGGAAGGTAGCTGGATATTAGGAAAAACTTTTTTACAGTAAGAGTTGTTCAACAGTGGAATCAGCTGCCTAGGGAGGTGGTGAGCTCCCCCTCATTGGCCATCTTTAAGTAGCGGCTGAACAAACACTCGTCAGGGATGCTCTAGGCGGGTTGGACTAGATGGCCTATATGGCCCCTTCCAATTCTGTGATGCTATGATTCTATGAGAGGGAGTGTGTGACTGCAGTGGTTTTGAAAGGGCGTTGGGGAAAGAGACCATGATGGTAAAGCCATTCCCAATTTGACAAGATTAAAGATGGGAGTTTTGGGGAACAAAAATGAAACCATTAATCTGAAAGAACGGAGATGACTGGATAAATTATCATAGTATTTTAAATCAACTGAGGCAGGATGTACATTTAGAAGGGGTGCTAGGTGCTCCTTTATAAGCCAGTTGTTATTCCAGTTCATTGTTCTTCCTCTAAAGCGATAAATGTCCAACACAATTCTGCAAGGGTCAGGAACAGAGGAGGGGGTCTTTTGTTACGAGCTTTCTCCCGATTCTTCTTCACTGAGTTACTATTTAAGATGGTGACTATTTGATAGAACTTCCTTCAGCCCCAATGACCCCTTCTAGAACGGACCCACTGCGGTGCCTGTCAGCAAGGGATCTCAGTCTAGGCTCTAGGATCACAGCCAGACCCCTGCCTAGTTTTGTCAAGCAGGCAAGCAAGCCCCACACCGCTCAGCTCCCTCTCTCGGCAGGCAGTGAGGCAACTTCCTGTCCTCCCTGCTGAGCGGCCTGTGCTGCTGCTCGCAGAAAGGGCTCAGGGGTGTTGTGTACACAGGCCTCCCCCAAACCGTCCTCCAGAAGCCAGCGGAGAGGAAGCGGGACAACCTCTCCCTCACCTGAACACCCGTGTGGACACAAACAACGCTTCTGCGTAATTGATGCCCTTCAAAGGCCCAAGATATGCAATGAGAGCAAAACTAAAAGCATGCTTTGAGAATATTTTGGGGAGGGAAAGGTGCCAGAGAGTCACCTTCTTCTGGGCTTTTGTTTTGAAGCAAAACGGGGGGGGGGAGTGGTCAAAAGGACTCTGGCAGGGCTGGCTCCAGACATTCTGTGGTTGCATGCAGCTGTTCCAGATGACCCACTGGGGGAGCTTCAGCCCTCAGGATCCCCTGTGACGCTGCCACAGTGGTGACACACAGCTCTCAGGCCTTGAGTGGCTGCAGCACTGTGATGGATGATCCATCATGGATCTCAGGGGAGAAGGAGTCACGTTGCACCTCTCAGACCACCCGCTTCACTGGTGCCCCTACTGTCCCTAGGATCATTTCAGTGAGGGAAATGGCACGGGTGGGCGTTTAGACGCCCTCTCCTCACATGCTGTGGTCCCGACTCAAACGGTATCCCTTACAAATATCGCTGGCACCTTAAGAGACTGAGCTTGGGCTGAGCCCAGTCGTGGAACAGGGCTGCTCCTCTCACCCTACCCTAGAACCCAAACTGGCGCCGCGGTTCTCTAGCACACAGCCCTGCGATGCAACGCATGAATCAGCAGTGGCAACAACCGAAACAGTTTCCTCTGTGCATGGGCAGAATGCTCCACTGTTATACAACCACACAGCTGGCCCCACATGGTGAGAGGCTCAAGTGCTTCCAAGTAAGTAGGCGCCCCAGCACCGCTCACAACCCCCCGTCCCCAGGTAAAATTGCTCCTTCCACCCCATTCTTCCAATCCAGAACACAGCTCAGGAGTCCTGACTCTCAGAGCCTAACTGCACCTTCAGTTTCCCCCCCCAGGTCCATGGGATCAAATATGTCCTGCAAGTGCTGTGCTGGGAACCTAATCCCAGGCCGATTCAGATCAGCAGCAAGGCACTTTTGGAGAGGAGGGTGCAGCCTTCGCTCCCCAACTCCAGTTTCCGAACCAGTAGCCAAACTACCATCAAGGACAGGATAAAGGGTATCGCCTCAGTGCTGAAAGATCTGCACTTGTTGCCCATTTCTTCCCACTGTTCTGACTTCTAAAGGCCTAAATGACTTGGGGCCAGGGTAACTGAGGGAACCCCCCCTCCCATACTGTCCAGCTCACCACTTATGAACTGCCTTGCAAGTCCGCTTTTGGTGACCTCGCCTTCAGAAGCTAGGCAGGTAGCAACCAAAGACAGAGCACTTTCAGTAGTGGCACCTCACTTACGGAATGCTCTTCCCCTTGAGGCTCGCCCAGCACCTACATTGCTTTCTTTCAGCTTCCAGGCTAAAATGATTCCGTTTGCCCAGGCTTTTAATTAAGGGGTCTATCTTTTAACGCTATTTGAGTCTGGCAACAGTTATTTGACACTGTCAGTGGTCTGTTTTTATGGTCTCTGTTTTTACACTGGGCTGGGGTTTTAATGCTGGATTTTAATTAACGTCTTTTAAAGTTTTGTTTTGATTACTTCGATCTCGTAAGCCGCCTCAGGCAGGTTCTTGGAGAGGCGGCATAAAAATTTGCTTCATAAATAATGGCACCGGGAAAGGGCCTGGGGAGCTGCCCTGTTCTGAGCACCACGTGTACTAATGGGGTACACCAAGTTTTCCCCAACTGGGCAAATACTGCCCCTAGGATCATTTCGGTGAGGAAAATGGCATGGGTGGGTGTTTAGACTCCCTCTCCTCATATGCTGTGGTCCGGACTCAAACTCGGCCAGTGTTCACCTGGGAGCATAGAACTAACCACGCATGTTTTTATTGCAAGGACCCCCAGAGGACGCAGGGAAATCACACAGGCCCTCAGATTGTCCTCACAACACAACTCCAGGATGGCCTCCCACCCCATCCCCTGAATATACCTCAGAGTGGTAAATATAACCCAGGAGTCTCGACTCCCTCCTAATCTTCTGGTCTCAGAAATGTCAGGAAACGCCACACAGGGTCAGAACAATGCTCATTCCCGTGGGGTGCATCCTGTCTCCAAAAGGAGGCAGGCTGGTAGCTCAAACCAGCCCTTAAACATGAAGTAGCTGGAAGAAATACAACAGAGGGGGCCACTTCTCTCCAATACCCAGAAAGAGAGAGACCGCCTCGGTGATATTCAAACAGCTCCAGAGAAAAGTTGCCATGATAGGGTGCTTTCACACACACTAAATAATGCACTTTCAATCCACTTTCATTGCACTTTGTAACTGGATTTTGCCGTGTGAAATGGCAAAATCCACTTGCAAACAATCGCTGAAGTGGACTAAAACTGCTTTATTTAGCATGTGTGAATTAAAGACGTGACATTATATATACATTTGCTGCTCCACCAAACCCCTTTTTGGGGACGGAATGAGTGTCTCACACTCTGGGTCTGATCACCGTATCCAGAACCAGGAAATTTTACCCCCGGCTGAGTTGACTATTAAGCATGATTGCCTGCATCCATGTACCTTTTCCCTATCTGCCATTGCTTGGTCTGCTTGTCTAAGTCATCATCAGCCATACGGCCGGCAAATACCTCCATAGGAAGCATCCGCATGCCACTTGTGCCACAGCAGTCTGGGCAGCACTGGTTTTTCTAGGTTGGTGGATAAATGGATTGCTCTGCCTACAAGCCAAGGGGATGACTAGGTGGTCTTCATGCGCCTCAGAGTCTTCCCATAGTTTTAAAAACCGAAACTGCACTGTCTGAAGAGGACATCCTACACCCTTTTACCGTTGTGGAAAAGAGAGGATGCTCTAAGCCAAGACCTTCTTGCCGAGACCTGTTGTTTGTTCTCATGTGAGCCTGAGACAATAAAAACAAGGACAGTGTGGTGGCTAAAATCAAAACAGAAGGAACCTCAGGGGACGTACTAGCTCAGTTCCAGAGAAACGTCCAGAGAAAGGACACATTATTATCCTCCCTAACAGACTGCCCTGTCTTCTTCTTCAGACCTTTTGATTCCACTCCACAGCCTCCATGTTTGATCTAGGGACCAATTCCACACGTGATACTCACCATACAGAGCAGTAAGAATCATCCCCGAGAGAGCAGGCAAGGAAGATTCCGCCTCCACCTTCTTTTAGGCCATAACAGAAGGCTGGATGAGGAGGCAGGCCGGCCGGCCAGCCAGAATGCTTGAGGGATGGTCACGGTTATCGGCAAAGCTGATCTACAGGCCATTTTAATTTGCTCCCCCAGGCAGTGTTTGTCTTACGGTGATTTTCATGCCTTCACAGACCTCTTTTCAGCACTTGTGATGCCTTGGTGAAAACAGCTCAGTCCCTCTGCTGAACTGTCGTGCACAAACATAGACCACAGCTTCTATATGTAGCAATTTAAAGTGGCATGTACATGGCAGGCGTGACAGGGACACAAGGCTGAAGGAGAAAACGTCTTCCTTTGCTATATTTGGGTGTTCTTCTGCCTCCCCTGCCCCAGTAATATTCACAGCCAGAATTAGGTCACGTACATGAATGGATGGGGGCAGGATTACAGTCTGGGGTCCTGGCACCTTCAGAAATGTTCCAGGCCCGCTTCTTGAATATTCAGTTTTAATTATTTTTAAAGCCAACCCCCCAGTCCTTTTACCTGCAGAGACCTAGGGACAGGCAGGCAGAGTTCTATCCAATGGATGAATACAAATTTATAAACCTGCTCCCACCTTCCAATTTTCTGTCCCATGAACACAAGGGCACTGAGATGACTGACAAGGTCTGGTCACATTTTTTAAAAAATATATTAACATTTAATTTAATGTCAATAACTCTAAGCTAAATATATAGCAATAGTTCCAGATGGCAAGCCGTGTTGGTCTGAAGCAGTAAAACAAATTTAGAGTCCAGTGGCACCTTTAACCAACTACGGTTTATTTAAGGTATGAGCTTTCGTGTGCAAGGCACACTTTTTCAAATACATATTCAAATATTTGAAAAAGTGCATGCACATGAGAGCTCATACCTTGAACAAACCTTTGTTGGTCTTAAAGGTGCCACTGGACTCTAAATTTGTTCTAAATATATGACACAACTTGAATGTAAAGTTTCAACTACATCACAACAACATTTCTGGCTAAGGGGCTTGGACGGATGAGAAAAAGCCAGTTTGTAAACATACAGGACAGAAAGTGACCCAATTGCCTGCTAGGGAACCTTCATATTACTGTAATTATAGCTGTGAGAGTCAGGGCAGACCCAGAATTTAGAGAATCCTTAATCTTATCATACTCTCCCAAACATAACAGCTGGGAAGCCGTTCCAAACAGAGAAACTTAGCCTCCAGGCCTGAAGCACCCTTGGAGAAAGCAAAATTTCCAGCAGATTAATCTCCAAATTGTCCTGTTTCTGCAAAACATCAACATGTGTGATGCTCCACTCTGGTAGACTGTGCACTCCATGATGCCAGATCTAGTGCAGTAACTGGACAACACACCAGAGAAGCTGCACCATGCCAGGAGTCCAAGGGTCCAAACGCTAACCATTAAGCCCAGCGTCTCTCCTTTCCTAAAGGACTTCGCTCCCCTCCTTCCCAAGCCATAATACACTGCTCTTCTCCAAGGAGACTCTGAGGGGTCTGAGACCTGGGATAGCCCTGGCCTCCCATCCCAACATCAACTGAGACGGCTTGGACAAACCAGTAGCAGTCCTATCTAATAATTTTAATGCACCGGCAAAAAGCAGGCTGTTCCCACCCCTGCCAAGATCATAAAACTGTCAAAGGTTTCGTGGTGGAGCGGGCAGTCAACTACCACCCGTCCCTGGCCACTCTGTGCCAAATGGCAGCACATATTTAGAGGGAGGGAAGCACTGTAGTAACTGGCAGTCTGATCAAGGTCTAAGAGTACCATTGGACAAAGCAGAGCAAGGGTCCAGGCCACCCCTCAAGAGACCCTCTTCCTGAGAGTCAGGGAGCCTGTTCCTTTCCAGAGTCAAAGATGATCTTCCACATCCCTCCCAGGTCTCCTCTAAAGGGCAGCGTTCCCTGGCATAGTTTGTAGACACCTCGGAGTCCAAGGTAAGGAGAAGGAGAGAGATCCCCCAGGAGACCAAGGGAGCCCGGGTGTCCTCTCCGTCCTTGTTCTCGCCTGCAGTCCAAGGAGCCCACGAATGAGTCGCCGATGCTCAGAGAGGCCCCACGTCAAGCCCCACCAAAACACGCAAACCCTCCTCGTTCTGTCTCCCAGAGAACTCCGGAGGGCTCTTTCGTATCCACCAGAACCTTCCCCCTAAAGGGACCCGACAACTGACAATCCACAGAGGAACTCTCACGGATCCTGGCACTTGGAGTCCCCATTCTCCTCCACTCTTCCCCTCCCTGCCTCTCCCCCCCCCTAGCCACCTTGCGCCCCTCCTGTCCTGATCGTGCGCCCTGGGCGCACCGCTGGCTTGCGCGCACCTTGTAGACGTCGCCGTAGGTGCCGGAACCGATGCGCTGGACGAGCTCGTAGCGGAGCCGCGGGTCCTGCAGGGAGACGTCCCGCAAGGCGCTCATGGTCCCTCCACAGCCGTGGAGCGAGGGTCGGACGGCGGGGCCCGGGCCAGCGGCCGGAGCGGGGGAAGGCACCGCCTCCGGGGCGGAGTGCAGAGGCGGCCGCTGGGAAGGGAAGGGAAAGGAAGGAAGGAGGAGAGGCTTAGGCGCCGCCCGGCTTCCTCTTTCAGTGCTGCAGCGCCGGGGACGAACAGGGGCGGCGATCGCGGTTAAAGCCGGACCTGACCTGACCCTCTGGGCACGTGCAAAGTACCCAGCGCTTGGGGGCCTACAGCCAGTCAGGAGTAGAAAGCTCTAAACGTACCTGGACAGAATTAGTTGCTTTTCAGTTGGACACGATGCAGATGTCTCTGAGCATGCAAAGAGTTTCCTGGCCCCTGAAGCACGTGTAGTCTAGAGCGTCTCTGCGGAGATCATGTAGCGCGCACTGGCTGCCTCTGGTCCCTGGACAACGTTGCGAGGGCTCAGCCTCAAATCTCACGAAAACCTGGGAAGTAAGAACTAGAGTGCCTCTGAGGACATGCTTGAATTTGCCTCTTAAAATCGTAGAGATACAGCTTAGCATCCATGCTTCTGAGAGGAAAGGCTCGCAAGGGAATGTATTAAAACAAGCGTGAGCCCTGGCACCTTTTCAGCTCTTTAACCCCAGGACAGTATTGTTTTTAAGTATGGACTAGTTCATTCCTTTAAATGTAGGTTTAACGGTCCCAGTGCTGGGTTAGGATTTGGGAGAGCCGATCCGCCCTTGACCGTGAAGCTCCCTGGGTGACCACAGGCCAGCCGGCTCTCTGCCTGCCCTACCTCACAGGGTTGTTGTGAGGACAGAAGAAAGGAAGAAAGATCCATAGACGCGGCACCAAGTCCCTCGGAGGAAGGGCGGGATAAATACCTGACGAACTCACTCCCTGTTTATGATCACATATCGGGGCTTTTGAAAACAAGACCGCCCGGCTGAGGCAACTGGTGCTTCCGGAGTTTAATCCACCCCGGAAGGCTTTCCTTCTAGCCTCCCGCCCCTCGGCTGTGCTTTTGGTCTTAACGCCGCACACACCGGGGGGGGGGCAGAGTTGGGGCCTTTAAGTCACACGGGTTTTAATCGATTGCACAATTCCTCAATTAAATCCGAATTCATGTACATATGGATAAAAAAAACTTGGAAGGGAAAAACGGATTCTTGGGTTTAGATGATCTTCCCACCGTTGTGTGTGAGAGAAAGAAGGTAGGAGATCCTTTCTAAAACTGCCTCTTAGTTTTGCTATGTACTTAATTTTTAAAAATATGTGTCTTTTTAATGTTTCACTCAGTTTTATCGGGGGCACTTTGTGGTCAGTTGAGAGTTGTAGTAGTTAATTATCAGAAATTTATTCCGCACCATCACCCTTTCCTCTCAACATGAATTTGTTTGTAACACCCTTTTCTTCAATGCTGAACAGCAACAGAAGGCTGCCTTTAGCTGCCCCCTCCAGTCTTACACACCTCAGCAGTTGTTGTTTTGTGTGTGCATATGTGCTTATGTCTGTGTGTCTGTATGTGGTTGCATGGCTGGAAGTCATGACGACTTCTGGCGACCCCTAGTGTGGTTTGGACGTTTCAGAGGGGTGGCTTGTGAGCCTGTCTCTGCATCCCAAGCCTTGGTATTTCTTGGAGGTCTCCCAGTTACTTGTCAGGGTTGGCCCTACTTAGCTCCTGAGATCTGATATCAGGTTTGCCTGGGCTATCCAGGTCAGGGTACACCTCAGCAGTTCTCACCCCTGCCTACATCAAGACACAGACTAAGGGGAGAAGAGTTCTTCACACGACATAGGATTAACTTGTGGAACTCACTGCTACATGATATAGCAGTAGCTTATAGTTTAGATGGTTTTCTAAGGGAACGGGGTGTATTTCTGGAGGTTAAGCCTACAAGCCAGTTTGGTGTAGTGGTTAAGAACGCGGACTTTAATCTGGGAGAACCGGGTTTCATTCCCCACTCCTCCACATGTAGCTGCTGGAGTGACCTTGGGTCAGTCACAGTTCTCTCAGAGCAGTTCTCTCTCTTAGCCCCACCTACCTCACAGGGTGTCTGTTGTGGGCAGAAAAATGGAAAGGAGATTGTAAAATGCTCTGAGACTCCAAGTGAAGGGTGGAGTATAAATCCAATCTATTTCTCTCTCAAATGGCTGTAATTTATGCTGACGCGATGGAACCTCTTTATTCGAAGACTGCTGTACCTCTGAAGAGCAGTTGCTGAGGGTCAATAAATAGGGAGATGTTTCGGCTTTCGTGCTGTGCCTCTGGTCGGCCACTGTGGGCAACAGGATGCTGGATTAGATGGAGTTTATGATCCGGTCTGCCCTGACCTGGATATCCCAAACTAGCCCAATCTCTGCAGATGTCAGAAGCTAAGCAGGCTTGGCCTGGTTAGTACTTGGATGGGAGACTGCCAAGGAAGCCCGGGGGGGGGGGTCATTACAAGCAATGGCAAACCACCCCCAAACTTCTCTTGCCTCAAAAACCCTAGTTGCCATAAAATGGTTGTGACTTGAAAGCACTTACCCCTTGCATGATCCAATCGAGCAGACCCTCCACTGTTACTTATGGGTTTGCAAGGGGCAGAGGGTGCCAAAGAGCTGATTGTCTCCTGTTCGGATCCTGTGGGAGTGAGTCAGATGAGTAAACTCTGCGCTGCCGCCCCCTTCAGGACTCTGCTCAATTCAAACCACAGGCCCTATTCAAAAAGGAGCCGCTGACCCAGCAGCTTGCAAGGCCAATTCAAGCATTAAATGGGCCAGCTAGCCTTAGTAACCATGGCAGGAGAGAGGGATTTCAACTATGGCAGAGCAAATTTGCTTGCCTTTATTAAGCCCTGTAGGGGGGGAGGGTTTCCTCAAACCACCTGGCTTCCCCCCCCCCCATTCCAGCTATGCCAGTAAGGCAGGTGCCGTGGGAAGGTGTGTCAGCAAGACTTAGGGCCACCTCTGACTGTCCCCACCTGCTCCTGGGGTTAAGTCCCAGTGAGGCAGCAGCCACAACAAAGAAGTGGTTTTTTTCCCCCCTGGCTTTGCTTCCCTTCCTGAAGATGCTGGTACCCAGTGTTCCCTCTAAGCTGAGTTAGTGTGAGCTAGCTCACAGTTTTTTAGCTTCCGGCTCACAGATTTCTGTCTGAGCTCAGGAAGGATGGCTCCAGAGCAAACTAATTTATGCAGTAGCCAAATCACTCGCTCACAACTTTAATGCCAGTAGCTCACAAAGTAGAATTTTTTTGCTCGCAAGACTCCACAGCTTAGGGGGAGCATTGCTGGTACCCGCGCACATTTGCTTGCACGCAGGCAAACAGCCAGGGTATCCTCATTTGTGAAGGAGGGCCCATCGTGCCAAGCGAGTGGACGCCGGCAGTCGTGATGGAAAGCAGGGAGCGGACTGGGGAAATGACAGAGAGAGAGTGTGTGCATGTCGAAGCCAGCAGGGCCAGAAAAGTCATTCCACTAATTAAACTGCACAACGGGAACCCTGCCATGATGGTATAATTATCTAAGTGCTTGTGACAGAAAAAGTGCTGCTTTTAAGAATCCCCTGCTTCCGTGTGCAGAGCAGCGGCTCCTGTGCGAGAAGATGGGAGAGTGGGTGGAAGTCCAGGCCATACCCCACTCTGACAACTGTGCGGGTGAGCTAGAAATCTGTACCTCTCTTCCATTGTGGAATACAAGACAGCACAGTGGGGGTGTCCCCGGGACATCTCCTGTCCAGGCACGGCCCAGACCACACGCTGTGCAGCTTCTGCATGGCTGCATCATTAGTTCGTTATTAAACATTCATGCCCTGTAAAGTTCAAAGCCGCTTCCCCCCAGTAACAGATTAAAATGCGATGTCATCAATACAAAATTAAAGTCAATTAAGCGTTAAAGAATCTGCCTTCTGGAAAACTGTATCAGCAGGCGTGCCGTTAATCACCAAAATGTACGTATTAAAAAAATCCAAAGGTTTTTGAGGAATGCACAGCCCGCATAGGCCAGACCGGCCTGAGCTTGTCAGAGCTTGGGAGCTAAGCAGGGTCAGTCATGGCTGCAAGACCACTGTGGAAGACCAGGGTTTTTATACATTCAACTTGATATTCAACTGCTCTGCAGGGGAAGGCACCGGCAAACTACCTCTGCTCACCTCTTGCCTTGAAAACCCCAAGTGGGGTTGGCCATGAGTTGGATGCGACTTGGTGACAATTATCAGTATTTCTGAGGGAATGAGCCGTCAGTGGCCATGATGACTAAATAGAGCTTCCATGTTGAGAGGCAGTAATCCTTTGAATGTCAATGCTGAGGGGCAACAACAGGAGACAGTCTTGGCTTCATGTTCTGCCTGTAGGCCTTCTGGGGGGCATCAGGTGGGTCACTGTAAAACTGGCTGGCAGACTGCATCCACCATAGCTCTGATCCAGTATAGTTGCTCTTAACGTTCTTAACAGCCACAAGAAAGTATGCCTTGCTCTGCAGACCTCCGCGAAGAGGCCGTGCCATAAAATGGGGATCAGTCGTGATAGTCTGACCCACAATCAAACAGTCATAAGACCTATAAAGAATGCTGTTTATGTATTTCAATCTAAAGCACTACAACATAATACACAACTAAAAAAAAAATCTTTGAACCAAGGTACATAATCAACGTCGTCTCCGGATTACTTAACAACGTTTCAAAAAATGGATCTTCTTCAGGAGATATTATAATGGTGCCAAAGCTCTCTGTTTCATAAATGTTAGACAACAAGTCTTCAGAATATAAAATTCAGATAGGACGCTGATCTCAAACATTCAGGCTCAAAATATGCTGCTATGTTTCTTCTGGACCCCGGGCTGAGAGCTTTGGCACCATTATAATATCTCCTGAAGAAGATCCATTTTTTGAAACGTTGTTAAGTAATCCGGAGACAACGTTGATTATGTACCTTGGTTCAAAGATTTTCTTTTGAGTTGTGTATTATGTTGTAGTGCTTTAGATTGAAATACATAAACAGCATTCTTTATAGGTCTTATGACTGTTTGATTGTGGGTCAGACTATCACGACTGTTGGCTTTATACTTGTTTAACTGATTGGGTCGT